AGAAGCAATACAGATATTTAAATCGACCACTGAAAAATAATTTCGTATCGCAGTGTTTACATGTAAATATTATTAAATGTAAATACTGTCTATAGTTTACGCGAGTAGTACACATTTAAATAAAACACTTTAACGGTTTAAAACGCGATATATTAGTTAAACTTATTTGGAAATGATTTTTAACTTCGGACCGACGTTTCGGATGCTTTGCAGCAGCCGTGGTCACGGGGAGACTTTGACCACGGCTTCTGTGATTAGAACTGTAAAATTCAATATGCAAATGTTGCATATGACATTAGGTCCCTTAAATATATAATTGACTAGTTTTCAACTCCAAGATTCTAGTAAAACGAACAACAATGTAACGACATGATATATCGCAGAATTGTATATGTTAAGAATCCCACGGACGTGCAACAGGCACACTTCTGTGTCCGTTTCACTGTATGATCTTATTTACAAATAAATAAAGCACTGTAACGGTTTAAAACACGATATATTTTAGTTAAACGGGGAGAACACGGCTGCTGCAAAGCATCGGAAACGTCGGGCCGTAATTAAAAATCATTTCCAAATAAGTTTACCTAATATATCGCGTTTTAAACCGTTAAAGTGTGTTATTTAAATGTTTACTACTCGCGTAAACTATAGACAGTAGAGATCAAGAGGTTTGGATAAACAAACTCAGACGGCCAAAATAACTATTCCACGTGGACGAAGTCGCTGACACAGCTAGGTACTTCATAGTACCTGGCTGTGTCAAAAGACCGTTTGCCCTGGTCAGCTAGTATGAAATATTAACAAACCGCGTTGACAAGTGTGAGTACAAAGGTTTAATTAATGATTAAAATGAAAGCGTGCTTATCTGTTTATTGTTGTCAGTTCTGATGACCGCGCGTATCTACCGGGATTTTAAATGTCAAATTTTTTCAGCTTAATTATGTTTTAGAACCTTCGCACTAAATCGTGATGTACATTAAACGCGAGTAGAAAATCACATCTAAAAATAGTTTATTTATTTAACACTTAGGTACACAAAACAGAACATACAGATAATATGCAATTTAAAATTATAGAGTGTACCGGACGGCCTATAGCATCTCTTCCAGGCAATCCGAGTAGAAAAGACTTAACGATTAATTAAAAACTATACAGTTGCAAGACAAAAATTTTAACGGTTTAAAACGAGAAATATTAGTTTAAGTACGGCCTTACAAATTATTTTAAGTACGGCCCGGTGTCTCAGATGCTTTGCGAGCCGTGGTCACGGGAAACTAAACATTGAGGGTGTCTCTTATGTTAAAGTAAAAACTGCTACGCTAGCGCAATCTGTTCCTGTCGCTAATGTCGGAATTAAGTATCGTAATATATATTTCTATAACACAAAATAATTAGTTGACTTTATTATGGTGATTGAGTTTGGTTAGAGATATTAAGTTCGGTTCCAGGAGAAGAAATATAATTGGATAAAAAGGAAAAGTAAAATTAAGGAAAACATTTTGTAATGATATATTATTAGCATAGCATTTATTTAGCTCGACTCGTACGGAATTTATTTATTTGGGTCAAAATTAGAAATTGACATGTTCCCGTTGTCGGATTGATCTGAAATTTGGTACACACATTTAATTTAGATGACAATACATTATAAAAAATAACATTATAAATTTAAGATGGCCGCCGATACAAAATGGCGGATATTTTCCCTAACCCTCCCTTCTTTTGATGGATATCAAAAGAAATGCTACACTAGTAAAACACGATGATTATGTCATTTTTTTGTGTAGTTTTCAGTGCACAAAAACGTAGAATAATTATTTTGGATATCTATTTTAGATTTTGCAATCCCCCTGTTCAACTCTATAAGTTTGAGCTGTTACCCACGTTCGTTCTTGTTAGTTGATCTTAGGAGATAAACATATAGTATCACAGACTTTTTTTAGATAATTTAAAGAGAAATAATTTTTTCATATATATTTTTTGGGTATCTTGAAAAGTTTTCGCAGCATACGCAATGGAAACCCACAATTATGAATAATTTTCCACGTTTTTTCGACATTTCCCGCTGTTCTCCTATTAATCACAGCGCGCTCCTGCGCGCCTATAATGTTTTTTAGCCTCAATAAATGCTCTAATTCGAACCAGTAGTTCCTGAGATTAACGCGTTCAAACAAACAAACAAACTCTTCAGCTTTATATATTAGTATAGATTTTAATTTAATGTTTATAATATTTTGTTTCACACAAAAAAGCTATATATCTATAGATGTAAACTAACTTTATGGGCGTAAGACCGTTAATTAACGAATTAATGGCATAAACCCATTAACTTAAGCGTTTGTAATAACATTTTATTTCTGGTAATAAAAATCTTGTATGTCGGTATGTACTTATTGGATCCCATGTTGCAACTTTGTCTGTCAGATACGAAGAACACAATTATATATGAATAATGCTATACCGCCAAGTTATTTACCATGTAGTCCATGTTTGTCTACTTCTTCTAAAGTCTAAAATAATATGTGACGACCAGTACACATTGCCGGTAGAGCAAACGAGTGCAACAGAAAATATCATAGTATAAATTAAAAATCGATTATAAATTGAAAAAGTTTACCGACGTAGGGCAGGACTCTAACCGGCAACTACGACCCGTGCTGTTGCTCTAACGAATTGAGCTACCGAGTCCTACACCTCATCGTCGAATTTTTCCATCTCATAATTAGTAATATAACGCCAAACATAAGTACCCGGTGGTGCTATAACGAACGGATAAAAGGGCTTTCTAATTTTTATTTACTTTCGTAGACAGTTGATGACGTCAGTTGCTTAATGCACTTAGCGACGAAGCTTATATTTTTGTTCGAGGATTTTCTGACCTATTTAAATTCGCGGTAGCTTTGGCCCAGAAGCGGTCGGGTGTCGTAAAGTTGACCGTTTCTGCCGGAGGGTCAAAATTGTATAAGTTCAGCGTATCGTGAGATAGTTTCCGTTTTTATTACGGCGATATTTAATATATAAAGATACTATATTTCTTTGTAACATACTTTAGTTAGCTCTTTTAAAAGTAAAGACCAAAGGGGAGGGGGTAGGCTTCCTGACTTCCATAAAAGCGTAGATTCGATTTCACATTGATGACTAACGTAAATCGAAACATACTTTGGTCAAGTACAGTTCAGTTAGTCGTATAGTTTTTTTTGTGTCTTTGTTCTATATACTTATAAGTTACATTATTTAACTACTAAAGTAACGAATATACGAAATAGCTTCATCCGTGATCTAATAGTGCATTGCGTAGTACATTTTTTAAATAAAGATAAAGAATTCCCTTTCGAATACTTGAAAATCAACTAGCGAAACGAACTTTGAAATGTGCGTACTTTATAACGAAAAAAGTTTTTTTATACATTAAATATATAATAATAAATATATATTAAAGAAACAAAAATAAATGTACTTGTAAAGTAGATTTAGGTACTTTGTGAAGGCACCCGGAAACGCTAGTAGAAAACAATGTTTACGTCACTCCCCAATTTTTCCTGTAACTCAATCGGCCAGTTGTTTTCAATTTTCACGGGAATTCTCTAAAGGCGGGAAATCATTCTTAGAATCTAGATTGGTCAAAGTTTCTATTTACAGACATAAATTAGACACATATACCCTATTTTTAACTGATGGTGTGAATGCCTAAAGAACTGGGTACTACCACCTCCTCGGAGACAATAGCCGACCAGAACCACTGGTACACCACCAGCTTACTACAGTGCTTTGAGGGGGCCCTGGGAACACGTTTGCACGACTCGTAAACAGACAGCCTTACTCGAATACAATTTTTACTAACAATTCCAGTATTTGTCATCATTTTTTTGGGTGTCTTACCACAGAGTGTAATTGAGGCTCTGTTTTGAAGCCCAAAATTGCTAATTACAATAATAAAATAAAATAATAAAAAACAATGTTTTTATTCAATTCTCATACAAGAAAGGATACTTAGAAATAACAAAAGAATCGTTTTAGTCTGAGATGTTTGAAGTACCTATTACTGGTACTGGGACTACTACGGTTTTAATTCCGATAATGCAACTGACATCAGTGATAGTAAGATAACTCCGGACCACTCTGCTTCCCTTTTCACAAGTCTATTTCCACATTTGGGCGCATCGATTTCTGGAGATCGCAACTCTACTTTGCAAGTAAATTCAAGGTGAGCAAAGTTAATTTTTTAGGTCGTAGAGCGTTCAATGTCAAAACAGCCGCAGGACTAAAATTGGACGAATTGCCACCCCATAGGCTGTTGTGACCTCGCTACTTGTGTAGTTAAATCCTTGATTTGACTTACATTTATTATACTATAGATTAAACAATACGAAAAAGATATTAACATTCTACAAATGCTTTTACCGTCTGTAGTTCACGCGAGTAAGAAACATTTTTAACGGTTTAAAACACGAAATGTATTAGTTAAATGTTGTGTTGCGTTGCGATGCTCGAGTACAGAAGTCGTGTTTTATTTAAATATCGTTTAGGAGTTAACTAATGTTGTACAATCTTGACATACTTTAATCTTATTAAGTAACTTAGATACGAGCCTAGCACGTCAATAACAATAATACATACAGAGTTATAAATAAATCGTAGCTATACAAAACTGCAGTACACGTCTAATCTGATCTAATAAGGACAGATGGGTCACCTAACGGATAAGAGCGATATTTGAAACTTGAAATCGAATTGAAATCTCTTAAAACTAATAACAAAGTTGTCATTGCAAACAAGACAGATCTATTATCGACGAAGCGTCTCCAGATAAGAGGTCATTGACCCGATACATACATAAATCATCGAAACTCGTAATTGGCACTGAAAGTTGTGTAGAGCTAGACTAATAAATTTTAAGGGGGGGCGAAGTTTAGTAAAGTTTGCCACATTTCAAGAAAATCGCGGTGTGATATTTGCAATGTTGTGATGGAGGAAATGGATTAAAGGGTTCGAGCAGTCTTCTAGTGTCGGAGAAGAGTGGGAACTAACCTCTTCGGTCTTCGGCGCGGTCTTCGGCGCTCGGTCTCGAGGTCGCTGTCGAGGCCACGTCGCCTTGGACCGGCCTGTCCGCCCGCACGACGACGCTCCAGCTTGCGGTCTTGCGTCTCCCGAAGCTCATCGACTACCTCCACTCGCGGGGCGAACTCATCATCAATTGGTTTAGGGGTCTGCGGTGCGCCCATCCGAAGATGTCTCTGACGCCACCACAGCACCCACGCACTTAGATCGCGAATTTTGCTTAACTTTGACACTTTTTAAATGATCTCCGAACTTTCGCGGGCCCGATCTAAGTGGACAGACTTAACCTAACTTATTGAGGCAGTGGAAGCATCAGCAACGGCTAGCGATTGCGATATCTCTCCTCGTATATTTGGACATAGTGCATCATCAGTCTTATCGCGTCAGGAAGCAAAAGCTAACTTAAGAATTGGCAGGATGAAAGGCAGTTGCGGCGAGTTGCATTTGAGTCTTATCCTAAGTGTCTGAGTGCGGCTTTGGCAGGTGGTTGTTGGTGACGAGCATGGTCGTGGTAGCGGCTAGTGGCAAGCGTGTCGCTGCGTCGCACTCAACAGATGTCGATGGCGTTCGGCATCTGGTTACGTAAGAGAGTCGTACCGGGCGCGGACGTGGCTTCGCGACGGTGCCGAGCGCGCGAATGAAGCCTTCTGCCATCCCTATCTGAACCACCTACCGCCCAGCCCCCCCCCCCCCGACACCCCACGACACCCCACACAAACCCTCTCGACTCGTGATAACATCCTATACCTGCGCCTTTTATTGTCCTTAACTTTATTTCTTCACTCTGCCCCATTGTGTCAATGATCTTCCTAATTCAGATTGTGTATTTTCTTTGTCACTAAATTATAATAAAAATATACATATCGATTCCTATAAAACACATGCAACGGGACACCCCTAAAATCGCTTAAAGATATCGTTGCACAAAAGAATATTCACAATTGTTAGTTTTTCTATAATTCATAAAAAAACATACATCACCTAAAATTATCACATCTGTAAAAACTACGTAGTAAAGATTCGTTATCTTTACTAATAATACTAATTAAAAAGAAATAATGAAGATTTTCAAACCATAACACCAAAATCGGTGGACTTCTTCGACCGCAAACAGAAATTTGCCAAACGCATTTCACCTTTAAGCTTAAGCTAAAGCGTTGAAACTAGGTAGTTTATCCCCCCATGTGGCATACGCCAGGATACGGTATCCTAGTCCTAGGATTTGGGAGTATTGTTCTCTCGTTATCAGCAATGTTAAATCTAACCAGGTACTCACACGTGAAGCGTTATTGTAACGTTACAAAATTACTGAAATTATATAGATTTGATAATCACCAGCAGTTCATTGCGCCGTATTATTAGTTTGTTCAACGGCATATGCCGAATCTGTAGGACCTAAATCAAAAGACATGAGCACATCGCTTCGTCACTTGGGAATGCTCTACCGACCATGTGTACACGGCTATACACATATATGGCGCACTGAAGCTAATGGTTACGTGCTCTGGTGTGTACGCGGCTTAAGCCGAGGCAAATTATTTAACCGTCGAGCTATATAGCAATTTCTATGGCTTGTCGAATGCAAAACAATGTAAATTATAAGTCGCAAGTCAAAACGATCGTACGAAAATGGAATTATAGTTGTTGCCACGCAAACACGCTTGAATTAATAACTACTACCTAATAAGTAAGGGTGGACCCGGTTCGGTTAAAATTTCCGAAATCAATATAAAACACTTTAACGGTTTAAAACGCGATATATACTGTCTATAGTTTACGCGAGTAGTACACATTTAAATAAAACACTTTAACGGTTTAAAACGCGATATATAGTTAAACTATTTGAAAATGATTTTTAACTTCGGCCCGACGTTTCGGATGCTTTGCAGCAGCCGTGGTCACGGCAAGATAGTTTAACTAATCAAATAGTTTAACTAATATATCGCGTTTTAAACCGTTAAAGTGTTTTATTTAAACGCGATATATATTACTTAAATTTATTCGAATTATTTTAACTACGGCCAGACGTTTCGGATGCTTTGCAGCATTCATGCTCACGGGAAGATAGTTACCACGGCTGTCGGTCTGTAGTTAAAATAATTCTCAGTAATATATCTCTCTCTCGTTTTAAACCGTTAAAAAGTTTTATTCAAATGTGAACTACTCGCGTGAACTACAGACAGTATTTCCGATAACACTTTGTTGTATTAACCATGATTTTGTTGAACTTGTTGACAAGGTGTATTTAATTTCAAATAATAATAATAATAAACATTTTTAAAATTAAGACTACTGCTGTGTATTGATTGTTGTTTTATAAAATTCACTACTTTATTATAAGACACTGTAACGATTAAAAACACGATATATATGAGTTACTTGCGTAAACTATAGTTTAAACTACTTTAGTTGATAACATTAACCGAATATCCGGTTGTGGTCTAGGCACATATAGCCCATCACTTATAATAACCATGTGATAGAGCGGTACTCGTGACGCTTTGACTTGGTAAGCGCTGTTTAATAGCAGGCTTTATGGAAATGTTACGATGACCTTCCTGTTATGTAAGAGTACTTCAGATTCTTTCTTAGGAGACGCATTAGAAAGGTTCCTGTCCTAATAGTAATAATTTAGTGATTTTTTTTTAATTTACAATATGCACGCCCTATGCGTTGTCCTGACCTTATGAGACAAAAAAAATATCATTTCAAATCAAAAATCATCAATTTATGTAGGTACCTTATGAACGTCAAAACATTTAAACATTTTAAGTTACTACGAGTTCCCAAGCTAAGGACGTAGAACGCACGAGAAGAACTGGCGAGAAACTCGCCGCCACTCCTATTATTGTCAAGTTTTTGTTGACCATAGACTGTAGCTAATCCTGTCAAAGTCAGTCTGGCCATATATGAGGCTGCTAGAGCCAGAGTGGCCTAATAAGAAAACATGATTTTCAATAAATATGACAAGAATGCGCAATAAACTTAGGCGAGAGAGTTTGTACTATTATTTGTGTAATATTTGAATGTTAATAATATTCGCTCTGTGCCCTTGTAGATTAACATTTAGACTATAAAAAACTTTAAAAGTCAATATACAATTGCAGTTAGGCTACTCTGTCTTACGCTCTCATATAGTAATGCAACTTAAAATGAAGAATATGCTACGGATTTATTTTAAATTCAAAAATCAGATCGTGAAACTTTTCCCATTTACGCAGCGCACGCAAAGAAAACTCTTCAAGTAAATAATTTTCCACATCTTCGCAATATTTTTATTGATACTCCACTCGTCTTGGTCGTAACATAACGTTATAAATGATGATAGGAGAATTTTCCAACATAACCAGATGTCATTCTACTGTTGCCGAGAAATAATAGTGACACCCGAATTCACCAAAAAATAAAAAAATGTTGATAAGTTTTTTATGATAGACGAGTACAGATTAGTACTAAGTCACTTGTAGGTAAAAAACCCCGGCGCTGTCGGCCTATTTTGTCTTTGGATATTCGGAAATCCACAGACTGAAACTGAAATGTGTTAAACTACACGGCTTTTTCAACTGTCCACGGTGGTTCGTGACCGGACTGAATTTTGACATTCCTACCACCCATATATATCCTGATTTCCCAACGAAGTCGAATATGTTACAGAAAAATTATAAATTGGTAAGAAAATGTTGAACCCGGTGCGGATCAAACTCACGATTCGTTGATTAGCCGTATAATGCTACCTCCAAAAGTTTATCTATATTTTTATTTTATGAAATATATAAACAATTTGAAATTTTGCACCAGAGGTGCAAGAAGTGGTGTATATCAATTGGTTGAAGAAATCCCATAGATCTGTAGGAGACACGGTAGCTCAATTGGCATCAGCTCGGAACGCTGTGGACGCTGGTCTAGTACCGTTTGTGTCATCAAACTTTTTTCAATATAATTTAGATTGTTTAAGTTGATATCAAATATCAATAAAACTCCAAATGAAAAAACTGCCGTTTTGTTTTTAAAATTATATATATACTCACTAAAGTCGAATTTTTAGGTTTATTATTATATATATATAATAGGACGTTTAAAAATTGACGCGAATTAAATTGATATTGTGTCATATTATGTTACCTGAAGAAATATTCTTTTAAATACTGTCTGTAGTTTACGCGAGTAGTGCACATTTAAAGTAACTTTAACGGTTTAAAACGCCATATATATTTTCCCGAGACCACGGCTGCTGCGAAGTATCCGAAACGTTCGGCCGTAGTTTAAATAATTTTCAAATAAGTGTAACTAATATATATCGCGTTTTAAACCGTTATTTTATTCAAAAGTATTTTTTGTTGATGACTACCTCATCCCGACGTTCCATTTGACAGTCCTCTCTATATTTATACCACGATTCGACAGAACTAGTTTTTAGCTCGCCTCTACCTTATCTCGTGAGTCAACGATCTCTCTTCATATAATATTAACGGACCGACTTTTGGCATGGTGCCTACCCCAGATGTTCAATGGGGAATCTTTACTTATTTGGTTGTCTACCAACAAAGAGCATGCATGAACCTACCATATATTTCTGGACAGTCAAAACACAAACTATGGTATGTTTTTGGACATACTTCTGGTCTATTAAATAAATGGATTACACAGAATAGAGTTACACTAAATGGAAATCAACAAAAACTAGATCTTTTAATTAAACACTTTAACGGGTTAAAACGCGATATATATAAGTTAAGCTTATTTTAAATTTATTTTAACTACGGCTCGACGATTAACATGCTTTGCAGCAGCCATGGTCATTGAGAGGGTCACGTGAAAATAATTTTCAAATCAGTTCAACTAATATAAAATAAAATAAAACAAAAGGCCTTTACGTTTTAACTAAATCTAAGAGCTGGTATAATTTAAGTACAATGTTATTTAAGATGATTACCTAATATACATCGCGTTTTGAACCGTTAAAGTATTTCATTTAAATGTATACTACTCGCGTAAACTACAGACAGTATTTAACAGACTAGAACTCCAAAAATGTAGCAATAAATAGTGAATGGCGATAAAACCGGTTGTAACAATTGTGTACAAGGGTAAATAAAACTCGGATTTAGATAAACAATACTAAAAGTAAAATTTTAAATATAGCTTCGACCAACCAACAGCAAAGTCAAAGAAGTCTGACGAACTCTAATGGTGGCAATGTATGGCTAATAATGACCGTAGTATCCCCATCGGGTCCATCAGGTTTTAAAAAATTTATTTGTAACATGTCGGACTGCCTTTAGAAATCTGGACATTAAATAGGTTGTAAGGTATCGAAATTCTGTCCAGGTCACGTAATTGCTGTGAAGTTAATACTTCGCGTTTTGGTTTCAGTTTATAGACTTCGGAATATCCAAAGCCAAAATAGGTCGACCGCACATCTTATTTATGTTATGTGGCTGGGCTATCTCACCAACCGTCAACTGAACAACGTTTGTCTGTCCTTCTCTATCATAACAAAGTATAAAAAAATAGTGGAATCTCATTTCTATTCTTGGGCTAAATTAAATTTTAAGTACCGTCTATAGTTTACGCGAGTAGTACACATGTAAAAAAAACACTTTAACGGTTTAAAACGCGATATATTAGTTAAACTTATTTGAAAATGAGTCTCCCTCATCAGTCTCACCGTGACCACGGCTGCTGCAAAGCATCCAAAACGTCGGGCCGAAGTTAAAAATCATTTTCAAATAAGTTTAACTAATAATATCGCGTTTAAACCGTTAAAGTGTTTTATTTAAATTTTAAGCCCTTGTTATCGGTAATTTGGCTTAGGTCCCAGTTTAGCTTCTCTTGAAGGCGCTTAAACATTTGGCGTTTAGCTGTGTAACTGACACGACAAATAACACGTGACATAGTTTTCATATCCCATCAAGCTGATTTTATCTGTGGGTGGATAAATTTACACACAATAATAACTTTGATTTTCATAATTGGTTGTATTTTCACTAATTTTCTTTATATATTACAAACATAGTCTTACTAATATATAAAGCTGAAGAGTTTGTTTGTTTGTTTTAACGCGCTAATCTCAGGAATGTAATGTTCGAATTGAAAAAATCTTTTTGGGTTAGTTAGAGCCTTTATCGAGGAAAGATCGCGCTGTAACTGATTGTAGCGAAGAAACACCGATTCGTGTAAAAAAAAGAAACGGGAAAAATTAGTCAACTTTGGGCTTACGATGGGTAAGCTGCGAAAGCGATTCAAGATACCCAAAATATGTATGAAATAATTATTCCTCTATAATTTACCTAAAAAAATTTCAGCGATGCTATTTGTATATCTTTTAGGATTAACTCGCAAGAACGAAGGGACGCGGGCGACATCGTGGATAACTGGTAGAATTTATAACTATGAGGAAGATGTCTGCGAAAACCAATTTTGATTCCCAAAATATAAGTCGCTGGCACAGCTAGTAAACTAATCAACCATCTTGTGTGTGTGTTGTTGTTTTTCTAAACTCTTTGATAACCGCTATAGGTCATGGGTTATAATCCCGTTGAAACATATTGATTTCGGTCGGGCAGGGCAAGGAACTATGATTAACTAATGAATTAAACAGCGATCAGTGAAACACGCAGTTCTGTGTCTGCCCCATACCCCACACAGGGAGAACAGGATGACACTTTACAAAAAAAAACTCATTCACTGTATTTGTGTTTTTTATTGAACCAAAGTTCCCTTCACTTTCCTTAGATTATCTAACAAAAATTTAGTTTAATTTCAAACTTGTATGTACACACCAACTGGGCGAGATCTCCGTCGCGTTTTCCCAAGGAGGTTTGGATTGCTTCTGAAAGCCAGCACCGCCTCCCGCGAACATCACACACACTGTATCACTGCACACACACAAACATAGCAATCGTAAGCAACTTAATATATATGTAGATCGCAACTTCCGCGCTTTTGTGAGCGGACACAGCACGCGTGAATCAACATCCTGTTCGATAGAAAATATCTCTATGCTAAACTTTCAAAGCTGTGTGATGTCACCGTACGACAGCAGCTGTTATTTAGAAAAAGCGGTGCGTTTCTGGAATCCGATTGCTAGTGTCTGCGCGGGCGCATGTGTTATTTTCGGGCGCAGACGATTCCAAACATTTGCGTAATCTTAAGCTTTGTCTCTACTACGTTAATTGGCGTCTTTGATATATATTCGCCGATTCAAGGTTACGTAATATTTTTCTTTAAAATTTACTTAAAAATATGATATATTTATTTAATTTTGGGTACAAGTAGAGCAACTCTACTATAATTAGAAGTAATATATAATTATAACCTTTCGCGATAAATGCTCTAACCAAAAAGAAATTTTCAACTCGAACCGGTAATTCGTGAGATTAGCGCGTTCAAACAGACAAACAAACTCTCCAGCTTTATATATTAGTATAGATATAATAAAAAATAGAATTTCGATTTTCACGGCTCCAAACCTGGGACCTTTACGTTCTAAGCAACGAACCTCAGTCGGTTTTATTGTCAACTCGATGTGTTAAATTAGTAAGTTACATTTTATTAATTTATTTCGTAAAACAGTTTGTAGGAACCTTCATATTGTAAGGGTCCTGTCTTTCAAACTTCGATCTGCTACTGCAAATTACCCAAATCCGAATCTTCACTCTGCCAGGCCAGGGATTCAAACTCGTGACCTAGATGTACTAACTATAACAACGAAACACGTGACTAACACTATTTGTTCTGTCCATGTCTAGTGAATCGATACTGCATGCAATATTATGTTTGTTTATTTAACCCACAAGCCCACTTAATTTATCGTGTTACTCTTTCATACTAAACAACCCGCCGTTAATTACCAAGAATTCTAAAACATCAATGGAACTGAACGAAAACAGATTTGGCTTTTTAGTAAACTATGTTGCTTTTAAGATCATTCTACGTTTGATATAGATAACAAAAGTATTCATAGATTTAGTTCACACAGTTTAAAATGCGATTTATATTAGTTTTAAACCGTAAAAGTATATTATTTAAATGTGTACTCAACAGACAGAGCTAACATTAATAAATCGATATATACAGTTTTATAACGAAGATCTAAGTAAACGTTTATCGGCCCGAGGTTCCACACACACCCTCCCCCCGACTACGGCCGCTAAAAAATCGTAATTCCAAATAGTTTACTAATATATCGCGTTCTAACCGTAAAAGAGTTATTAATAAATAGAGCCTTAAAATTGTTCGATATATACAGTTTTTAAGAAGACTAACGTAAAATGTGGTTCTACTTAAAAGAAAGTCTTTTTAAGTTATTACGACAAATTATTCTTAAACATAATTAACGATTTTTGTTTTTTTTTTTTTTGCCGGCCAAGACAATAGTCGCAGTTATTCTTTTAGGTATAATCTCAGACGATAAGATATTAGGAAACAACTTGTCTTTTAAAATCTAGAGCAATAAACATTACATTATCGCTTGAGCCTATATTTTTAAAAGCCTTTTTGCCAATTTTGTCTTCTTTTGAAATCTTATTGCTGAATTAACCACAGTTTTTGTTAAGTACATATTTTTGTCAATGATAATCCATCTGATATATTTAAACTTTAACTCGAGTTAAATCTAAAGCAATGTCGTTTTAGATCGTCAATTTTCCGCTAGGGGCGCGCGAGTAACCTTTGCTTCGCCAATAGAACACAAACGTTTTCCAGTTAAAGCCTCTATCCAATAACGTTCCTAGTTTAAATTTTTTCTGAAGCGCCTGTGACCGGGTTTTCACTTGGACGTACTGCAATCTAGGGGATATTGAATCAATTTTGTACCTTTACTTTCTCTTATATTAGAAGGGAACTGATTTTAATCGCCGACGATGGAGAGCGATTATTCGCAGTACTTTTTTAATTTCTATTAAATGAATGAGAAGTATCGCAAACATTGCAACAATTTATTTTTATTGGTAGCCAGTGGCCTACCTACATAATATATTTTGAGAAAACCAATGTTAGATAAATGAGTTTAAACAACACACATTTAACGTTTTAAAACGCGTAATTATTACTTTAATTAATTACAACTGATTTTGACTATGGCTCGGTGTTTCGGATCATATGCATCAGCTGCTGCTCTTACATTTCATGTTTTAAACCATTTAAAATGTTTTTTTTTTATTTATCATTATTTTAATCTTATGTGTCTTATCTTATGTATCATAAATATCTATTATGAATAATGATCAAAGGGTATAGATCAAATAAAACAAGGAGAGTCTCATTCGATTTTTTTATTTGCCGTAAAAAATTTCGCCAAAGTCGTCGGTGTCTGTCGAGTGTTTTTTTTTTGTTTTTTCTGTTATGCAATAACGTTTGCTGATCTTTTACAATTTTTAAGTTCACGTAACTTATAATTAAAATTTACAATAAATACAGCTGCTGTCATAGAGTGTGTCTCACTGTATGTCTGTGTGGGTCTCACTACATTTATCCACGCAATCCGAAAGCAATGAATATTCGCATCGCTAGACATCGCAAAGCGTCGCGCCGCAATTCTTCAACAGGTTATAACAAAACAATAAACAGCCTATACTAACTTAACAATTAGAGGAAAATTCTAGACAATCAATAAGAACTAAGTTAGTATAGGACTGATTAAATTGTACCTTTAACGCGTGATGATAAATATAGAGAGACTCAGATCCCTAGAGTTATCGAGTCCACTTCACGGGCGAGAATCGTTTTTTTTTTGTGTCGTTAATCTGTGGTCCGATTTGCTTAGGCATCAGCGGCGGTCGTTGCTGTACTTGCATTGGTGGAAATCGCATCGGGATCTGGTTCCCGGACTCCCAGCCAAGGTACCCGCTTTTCCAGTTCAGCTCTGAATTTAATCATGGATTGTTTAGCTTACGGAAGGAGCAACTTGAAATGAAACGAAATATTGTATTTATATTTACCTGAATCTAGGGTGGTTGATAGCATATACCCATGGATCGATACACGAGACTGCTTTGCAGAACACAGCTGGGATCATTGTCACTACGGGCGTTAACAAAGACCTGAAAAAAAAAGACAAATCAGTTCATACTCGTATACGATTATATCAATCAGGATTAGAAGGACGAAAAGAGAAAAGAGATCTTTCCATTTGAGGTGGAGTCAGAATGGGAATTGTAGTGTCAACATGCTTCTAACTTTTCTGAAACATGTTGGACTTCGTAAATCTAGATAATAAATGGGTGGTAGGAATATAGGTGTTTCGTCCGGGTCACGAACCACCGTCCACGGACGAAAAAGTCGTGAAGCTTAATCGCGTTTCTGTTTCAGTCTGTGGATATCCAAACTAAAATAGGTCGACCGCGCATCTTATTTTGATGGTTAGGCTGGGGTATATCACCCACCATCAAGTGAATCCCAAATTTCTCCTCCTCCATGATAAAAAAAAGAATAGACTCTCCGTTTTTATATGAAATTTATTGGGTTGATGACTAGTAATTTAATAGAGTTTTTTCAAGTGTCATACCTGTCCCCAAAAGCACCAATCATTGCCACAACTCCATATGGTGTCCAAGAGCAGATGAAGAGGAAGAAAATGGTAAAGGCCACTTTCGCTATCCTGATCTCTACGCTCTTACCGCCGTCCTCTTTGTTCGACGCTAGTGACTTAACGTTCATTTTCTTGGCCTGTTCCTTCAGCATTTTCTCGTGATGACGTACCTGGTATGCGAAATATTCAAAATCTATACTAATATATAAAGCTGAAGAGTTTTCGAATTGAAAAATTGTTATAGTGTTGGTTAGAGCGTTTATCCAGAGAGGCTTTATGATACATCGCGATGCGCTTTATACGAGCCAAGAAACAGCGGGAAAAGAGAATGTGACGGGGATAAAAATTCATATTTGTGAGTTTCAGTTGTATACGCTACGAAAACGGTTCAATATCCGAAACGTATGTAATAAAGAATGAAAAAGTCTGGGACAGTACATGTCTATCTTTTAAGATTAAATTGGAAGAACGATGGGACGCGGACGACGTTATGGGTAACAGATATAATTTATAAAGATATGGACGTTTGCAAAAACAAATTTTATCGCTCAAAATAACTACTCTACGCGTACGAAGTAGCTAACACAGCTTGTTAACAAATAATATATGGAATAATTCAAAGAGCCTGGATTGGTTTCACGTTTCTAGAACACTACCTCCAGTTATTTGCTGCAACAATAGTTTTAAACGCGTACGGTAATCTAATCCCGTGGTAGAAGCATAAACAATGTTTTTTTGTTTGCGAAGCTAATTATCTACTAGTCTGTAAATTATATCGATCAGTTAAACAAAGACACTGTCAGTACAGTATATCAAGTCCATTATCTACTGGGCTTTTCCTAAACAAATAGAGTGACGATTAATGTTGTTTGATAGTTTGTTTTTACAAGGTATACAATTTTACATTTGTATTTATATAGTAATATCAAATTACAAGTTGGATTTTTATAATATAAAAATGGATGTGGGTAACACCCAACTTCCCTTACTATTAGATTTCCTGCATATTAGATAAAATCTATAATTTGTTATTGGTAACTTGTAGTACAGATTAAATATCGAAAATAAATTGAAAAATTTTCGACTCAAACAGGAATGTACAATTTAATTTCAAGTTTATATCTATACAGTGTCATCATGTGCAAGATGTAAAAAAAAATAAAGTTTTTCAACTTATAGTACGTTAAGGTTCGCGTTTCAAACCGTTTAAAGTCGATTTATTTAATACTGAGTGGATAGGTACGTACCGCAACAAATAATTTCGAATAGAAGGTGCAAATCAGACTCATGGGTATGACATAGCTCCAAACAAAAATGCACGCGACGAAAGCCTTGGTATCTTGATCTTCACTCAAGAAGTCAAACGAGCAAGTTGTTAAGAAGCCCTCTGTAAAATAAAATTTTATTTAGAAAGTACATACATAGGCGTAGGTTATATAGGAGACTTCTCCCTTGTGTTAAGCTAAGAGTTACGATTTCCGGGATTCAATTTATACCAGAACATGGATATTTTTTGATAGTCGCGTCCTTGTCATATTATATAGTTTTAATTCAAAAAACTAGAGCTGTTTTTAGACATGACGAAGAAATTAGTATCTCACCCGTGGTATATCTGCCCCAAACCCCACTCCAAGGAAGAAGGGTGAACGGCATAGCCCACATCCATGTTATGGCGATCAGGATCGATGCTTGTACTTTGTTAATTCTGCCGTCGATTGGGCAAGATATTGTCCTGAACGAGAAAAAACACATTATCAAGCTACCTAAGCTTGGTTTAAGAAATAGGGGAGGCTAAAAATGGAGGGTGTCATCAGATGGTCATCTACACCCTGCGGTAAAGCATCCTAATCATCGGCTTGTAACTCGGACGTTTACATGATTTCCAGACGAGCTCTACAATGTTTCGTAAAAAATATAATTTGGCCCAAGTTGGACCCAGTGGAGATAGAACAAACGACTCCTTGAGTTTTAGCTCGTTCTAGTAAAAAGATCTGGTGCAAGACTACCACTAGAGTCTAGTACCACCAAGACTCTGTTTAAACTTACTTAAATCGATCGTAAGCAATCACAGCGTTGGTAATAGCGCCTCCTATTCCTGATAAAGAACCAAACACGGAATAAAGGTCACACCCCAGCTTGTAACCCAGCATCCTCTGGTAGAAGGAGTTCACTATGAGATGGGGCATCTCCAACATCATGGTAAGGTCGAAAATCGCGAGGTTTACTATGAACATGTTACTCGCGGAGCGTAAGGACTTTGACCTGGAACAAAGAGAAGATTTACTAGATGAAGTAAATCATGAGAGAAGGAGTGAATTTAAACCTGGTTTATAAATGCTCTTTCGTGTGCTTCTTTTCTAGATATAGTTGTTCGGGAAAAACGTTACAAAACAATCATTTGGAACCAAACTGCTGTCCCCTTAAAATATGTTGACCAAAACTATCCTCAAGCTAAACTTTAAATTATTTGTGTTACAGGCACCAAGCCACCTAAGGCAAGACATGTTTTTCGAACACACAAGAACATATTCTTTACTTGTCTATGAATTAATTCAAAACTAAAAAAAGAAGACTTTACACACTCACGTGCTGAAAATCCATATGACCAATGCGTTTCCAGTGACTGATGATATCATTAAAATGAAGTAAATCAACGCGAGCACATAGTGTGAGAATTTGTCGACAGCGGGAAACTGGCGCCAGTGCTCGTGGACAAGATCCTGGTGTTCCTCTGGAATGTTCCAGCCCAGCATGTGCTGCTGGACCTCTCCTGATACCCTGGGATTAAAATAAATATTTCAGTCATTCTATTAGTCAGTACAGGTGACTTATGACTTACCGTCTGTAGTTTACGGCGAGAAGTACACGTTTAAATAAAACACATTAACGGTTTAAAACGCGATATATATTAGCTAAACTTCTTGTCTCCCCGTGACCATTACTGCTGCATAGTTTAACTAACACATATTGCGTTTAAAACCGGTGAAATGTTTTATTTATGAGCACTTTTTTAAAATACGTCCACGATTAAACTTTGTACATTGCATACTGCAAGAACATTAATATGATAAAACAATGATTCATCCATCTATCTCATTTTTTTTAGGAGAAGTAGAAATATGTGTCGTTAGGATGTTCTTCTAGACTATAATAAAGGATCACTTACATTTTGAAGGCATACGCCATAGGGGCAACACCTGTGTAGTTGAGTTCCATGGTTTATGCTTTAGTTTGTTCTTGACGAAGTGAGTAGTCCGACACGTGTTGATGCCGCTTCTCACTTGTATCTTCCGCTGGTTGCTCCCATATTTTATACTACAAATTGCGTGACCGTCTATACGATAATTTAATAAGTTACTTAGTTGAGAATTAAGCTCATATACAATTGTACGTAATTAATGATAAATTAGAAGGAGACAACGATATTTCGTCCGCTAGCGTTTGCCGCGACTTCGTTTGCGTTATATGATCTTTTTAGACTCAAGGGATCTAAGAAGAAGCAAGTAAAGAGTATGCGATTTAATACAGAAAACGATAAGTCTAATATTAAACATTCGTAAGTATGCTAATCTGTATATTATATCATTATATATAATATGTTTTATTTACACGTTTTCTTTAATTTTTATACGTTCACGTCGTAAATAGTTTTGACATAGATTATACTAATATTTATTACATATTTACGATTACTCTGAAAGCGTCCTTAGTAATTAAAAAAAAAACTTTCAACTGAAACTTGACAAGCGAAGTATCTTAGTAAGTAAAACAATCCCAAATGCAGACAAAGCCTGATATAATATAATCATGAAAACTTTTTTATCCAGCACAGTAATTTGATTTACTACTAACCCATAGACAAAATCGTTTAATGAAACTGACTCAGATATATGTCTGCTTTATTCCCCCGGCTCAAGAATATACACCGTCATGCCTGCAAAGAGTTAAGATAAGAAAAATTCTATAAAAAATATGTTTGTCATAACGAAGTATTACAAAAAAAATATTACTTATTTGTATGTACTGATAAAGTACTTATCTTCTTACATGATTGATATCTAATAGACAGGGCTTACTTTTATTAAATAAAGAAGTTAAGAGACACGCAATCAGTTCATATAAAACAAAATAGTAATCAAGTAAACGGGCTACTGCATAAGCATAGTAAAGACTATGTTACGATTTGAACCACTTGTTTTGACTTATAAAAATATATTCTAGTCTAAAAAAGTTGCAATTATTCTTAAGTTATTTTCTTATTATAACGTAGGTTACATTCATTTTCAAGTTGTACTCAACGATAATTTTGTTGATTACATTGATATACATGTAATTGTTATGCCATGTAATTATATATTGAGAAAGTTACAAAACATTATTTATAATGCATTGGACCTGTGTTCGTAAAGAGACAACTTTTAGTCGGACCATAAAAGAGGAAAGAATATTCTTCCATAAGAAAAATATATGCTGTAGCTATTTCTACTCTGTTATGGCGATAAATGTCGTGATCGTAATGGTAATTGTTTTGACGAATACTAACACCAACACTATTTATATATATTTAATAGTCAAATATATTTAATTTAATTTACAGTAGTAAATGATATATGTAACTAAGAAAAAGATTATCTTTTATAGAAGGTCAACAAAATAAAAATGACACGTGTCAATTGTCAGTGTCACCTTCTTGCCCTTAGGTTAGAAATTAGAATTTTGTAATCAGAGTTTATTTTGCATATATGCAAGGCAAAGGGATTATTTTTAAAGAATAGGGATACATTGTTTCATCTATGGCCTGCAAAAAATAATTGTCCGAACATGCTATCAATAAAACGATTGCGGACATTGTCTGCGTCGAAAATACAATCAAAATTTTCGATTGATCTTCTAAATGTGACCCGCTCGCACCAGTTCAATAAGAATTTTTCAACGAAATTAGTCGATCTGTGTAAATCTGCATCGCTTCTTCAGCAAATAACATCACAATCGAGACATCCAGTAAGTGTAAACGTAAAGGTATCAAAAATATTGCACAATCTATTGTTATTGTTACTTTTTAGGCATCCTATTTTGAAATTTTTAGTTCATCTTTTATACATGTCTCATGCCCAAGTCACAAAATATAAAAATGTAATTTTTCCACACCGGATTTCTGAAATTTTATGACACTTCCTTCATTCACATTACTCCTTACGCTAAACATATAGGATTCCTAAAAGATTAAACATTATTTTCTTTTGGGAATGTTGACAGCTACAACATTAGTTAACATGCAATAGATATCGTTGTGTAACATTGTGGAATATTTTCAGCATTTAAAACATTACAATGCTGAAATCAAAGCAGTTCAAGCACTCTTGAAGAGATCAAATGCACCTAACTTAAATCGTAGCTTTCAAATATTGGCACGGAGTCTGCACACAAGCACATCAAACTATAATAAGGATGACAAAGATAAGGTAATTTGTTTTTTGATAGTTTGAATGAATGGGTTTATTTAAGGAGAAGAAGGGGCCTTTAAATTTAATTCTTCTAAAACTTTCTTTTCAAGGCTGCATCGCTACATAGTATAAAATAAAGTTGTTTTTCCTGTCCCTATGTATGCTTTAAATCACTAATTTAACTATGCAACGGATTTTGATGCGTTTTATTTTTAATAGATAGAGTGATTTAAGAGGACGGTTTTTATATACAACATTCACAGTTTTTCTGTAGTGTATTTATTATCAGCATTGCACCCGAGCAAAGCCAGGGCAGATCGCTAGTCTAGAATCTTTAGCTATTTTTGTTATAATCCAAGATTTCTTGCATTCCTTGTTAAACTTGTCTATTTTGTTTTCAGGACAAAGACAAGAAAAAAGAAGATGCGAACATTCCGTCAATTATGATCAAGGCTTTGTTTTGGTTGATGACTACTTTTTCGCTTATCATGATTAGTTCCACGCTGCTTCCTAGTGATAATCCTCAGAGTGAGGTATAGCAACATTGTTAGTTATATTCTGTACTATGTACACCTTTCACTAAAGAAATATAAAATGGCGCCAGATTGATTGATCTCGCCAGTCGTTCAGAACCCAAAGAGATTTTCATTTTTTACTTGCAGTGATTTTCCTCTTTCTATGAAAAAGCTTTTAGGGTATTCCACTTATAAGATATTCTACCGGTCTACATTGAAATTCTGTTTTCCCTTATGTGGGGCATGGACATAATTTTCTGTTTATTTCACATCTGCATAAATTTTACAAGTAAGGCAAGGAGTTTAATTATTAAGGTATGGAAGCATTCCTTCCTAGTTACTCCTTTGTTATTTGAGTGAAACTCATCCAATTTTAGTAAGGTTTTATATTACCTTTATTAATAATCTAGCTTAATTTATATGTTTATTTTTGGCAGTTTGTGAGATACGTGTCATGGAATGAGTTTGTATATTCAATGCTGTTGAAGGGAGAAGTCGAGGAGCTCATAGTCAGACCTGACATTGAAGTGGTTACTATTATACTCCACGAAGGAGCTATAGTTAAGGGTAGAAAGGCAAGTAATTATATGATACATTATCGTATGTTAGTTTGTTTTAAACATTTTACAATGATAGGAGTAGGCAGAGACTTTTTACGCCCAAATTAGGAAGAGAATAAGGAAACAAGTATCTATCTATTCAATGAATGCATTGCAGAAAACACATGGGAACTGACAAAATAACATAAGATAGTATCAGAGACTTCAAAATGTAACACATAATAGGATTCTTTAAGCAAACCGGAAGGTTTGAACGGGACACAGTGAGACTTGGATAACCCAAAGTTGTGTAGGGAGAAAAGGGGGAAATGGTTTAAATAGTCTGCTGATAGTGTTGATTTATCACCCAGCCCTAATTAATTCCAATTATAGGCCACCAGTCGAGTGTACCATATGAATATTGGGGATATACACCGTTTTGAAGAGAAGCTACGTGAGACGGAACAGAGCCTCGGCGTTAGAGAAGGTTCGTATTTTTATTTATTACATGGGTATTGTATATGCAATGATTGATAAATAGTAAAAAGTTGCACTTACTACTGTGGTGAATCCCAGGTAAATACAGAATGTGTGCCCTTCGGGCGAGGCACATAGCTCGATTGATTTGTGAAAAGGACAGATATGTGAGGCCTGAAACTTGTTGAACTTCGTTTGGAAACCTGGATATGAAATGGTGGGTCAAGAACCACCATCTACAGATGAAAAAGCTGTGAAGCTTAATCGCTTTCAGTCTAATTCGGTTTCAGTCTGTGGATTTCCGAATATCCAATGCCAAAACAGGTCGACATCGCATCTTGTTTATAGGACAGGGGGTATATCACCTACCATCAAGTGAACCATTTGCCATGTCATGTCAAAAAAGAGTTGTGCATGTCTATTTTCCTCCTTATTGAAAATCATGATTCTTGTTATTAGGCCACTCTGCCTCTGTCTGTGGGACAACAAGACTCACTACATAACAAGCTTCTCTACTTGATTTTAAACGGCTACCTACTTTATTATTTAAAATTTTCACAGGTGTCAGAGTGATATATGACAGAAATGGAAGTGTAGCTGGTAAAGTCATAACTACGTTATTGATAACGGCGGTTATTCTATCGTTCTTGTACTCAACCAAATCTATGAAGATGAACATCAACTTGGGAGGTTTTGTAAGTATCGAGAGATTATTCAATGTATCTACTAAAGACTATTGTCAGCAACGCTAAGGGTAAAGCCAAAAAGGCATTTGAATCCAATGATAGAGTATACGGGGAAAATGGGTCAAAAATATTACGTAGTATATATCGGTGGTGGTGTCCAAGGTGTCCAACATTATTGATTTTAAATTTTATGAAACCGAAAATGTTGGATATTAAACCGGTAGTTAATATAGAATTCTGTCCAGGTCACGAACTACCGTCCACAGATGAATAGGCCGTGAAGTTGAATCGCGTTTCGGTTGCAATCCGAATGTTCGAAGCCAAAATAGGTCGACAGCATATCTATTTGAAATGTTATGCGGCTGGGGTATTTCATCTCCAATATGCTTGTCTGTCCTGTGTGGAAAATGTTACAAGGACTGACAATATAATAATTGTATAATATACCTTCCTAAATACTGTCTGTACTATACGCGAGTAGAACACATTTAAATAAAATACTGTAACGGTTTTAAAACGCGATATATTCTAGTTAAACTTATTTGAAAATTATTTTTGCTTATTAATAATTATTAACACTACGTGGAAGGCCCGATCTTTTTCTGTTACAAACAAAGGAGGTCTCATTGTACCTATTAATAATGTAGTACACAAACATTTTATTTATATTAAGCGTATGGAGAGTTCACAATTGCTTTTGGCTTCATATCTACTTTGGGTAAAGCAATCACAGCGATTTTATTCTCTTTATCACCCCACTCTATTTTTATATCAAAAAATATTGCAAAATTTATTAGCCCCAAAACGAGATAAATAACCCATTGAACAATAATAAAAAAATGACAGATTCCAAATTCAAATATAATATTTTGACTTTTTTAAATTATAACAGTGTTTATGGCCAGACTCAGAAGTACATCGCGTTTTAAACCGTTAAATTGTTTTATTTAAATATATACCTATTCATAATAGCACTGCGAATGCATTTCTTTCTAGAGCCAACTAAGCCGTGCCAAATTCACTTTAGTTGACTCGATGAGTGGTCAAGGCAAGGGCGTGAAGTTCGAGGACGTGGCAGGACTGAAAGAAGCCAAGGTCGAAGTCATGGAGTTTGTAGACTATCTCAAGCGGCCGGAGCATTATAAGAGCTTAGGGGCCAAGGTTAGTTCCTTGTCTCAACCACATGTTATATATATAGGGAAGTTGGTTATTGAAGACTAGCTGTGTCAGCGACTTCGTCCGCGAGAATCGTTATTTTGGTTATCCCCCTTTATCTTTTTTTTGCAAACCCCTTCATCTTTATAAACTTAAGTTATTACCCACGACGTCGGTCGCGTCCCTTCCCGTCGTTTTTGCAAGTAAATCTTAAAATATAGACATAGCGTCGCGGACTTTTTTGGATCATTTAAAGAGGAATCATTCTTTCATACATAGTTTTTGGGTGTCTTGAACCGTTTTTGCAGCGTACGCCTCGGAAAACCATAATGATGAATAATTTTCCCAAATGTTTCACATTTCTCACTGTATCTTCGCTTGTATTAGTCGCAGGGCGATGTTTTACAGCCTATAGCCTCGATAAATGTTCTAACCAACAAAAGAATATTTTTTCAATTCGAACCAGTAGTTTCTGAGATTAGCGCGTTTAAACATACAAACAACCTCTTCAGCTTTATATATTAGTGTAGATTTAATTTGTCAGGTCCCCAAAGGTGCGCTGCTGCTGGGTCCTCCTGGTTGCGGGAAGACGTTGCTGGCAAAAGCAGTCGCTTCGGAAGCCAATGTGCCATTCCTTTCAATGAATGGGTCGGAGTTCATAGAAATGATTGGCGGTCTCGGTGCGGCCAGAGTCAGGTACAATTGTATGATTTTTTGAAGTGTCTATAACTAGATGACATGGCAAACTACTAACAACTTTAGACTACAATTTGATCAGCATTAAACGGTTCTTGTTAGGTAATCTTAAAAGATTTGATATTGTTGTATTTTTGTTATGATTATTTCAAGACAAATGTTTCTTTCATAAATCTTGTGTATCTTGAACTGTCTTCGCGCCGAAAATTTCCCTGTTTTCACTGTTACTGCGCTCCTATTTGTCGCAGCCAGTTGTTATTTATAGCCTGTCTTGATAAATGGTCTAATGAACACAAAAAAAACCCTTTCGAACTAGTAGTTTTTGAAATTAGCGTATTCAAACAAACAAGCCCTTTAGCTTTGTAATATAAGCATAGATTTCTAGAACGAAATATTCTGGTTGAAATTAATTGATTGGTTGAATTATTCCTTAAATCTGGTTGAAATTAATGAATTAGTTGAATTATTCCTTAAATCCTTAAGCCACACTAATATTATAAAGAGAAATATAGATCTAATACAACTATTGTATGGATTCCAAAAATTACTGCATTTATTGCTACAAAAAACAAGAGATTCTTAGTAAAACTACAGTAGGTGAAAAAAATGCAAATAACTATAAGAAAAAATAAAAGAAAAATATGTTTAAAACGCAAAATATATATTGATTAAGTTGACTTTACGTCAAAGTCTAACTAGCACATTTTATTTTGACATTGGACAGTCAACGTTTAGTCCCCCCGTGATCTGGCTTTGATGCCCGACTATATTATCGAATTTTCAAAGGCATCATAATTATAACTATCTTACAGAGACCTGTTTAAAGAAGCCAGCTCCCGCGCACCCTGCATCATTTACATAGATGAAATGGACGCGGTGGGTCGGGCCCGTTCTTCCGGAGCCTCGTCGTTCGGTCCTGGAGGTGGAGAAGGCGAGCAGACCCTCAATCAGCTCTTGGTGGAGATGGACGGCATGAAGAGTCGCGAGGGTGTCGTCGTACTTGCGTCTACCAACCGAGCTGATGTTTTAGATAAGGTAGCTTGTTTGTTATTTGAAAGCTTTACTTTTTGTATATGATGGCATTATATAATTTGAGAATATATTTAGATCCTCAATACATAAGTATTAAGGTTGAAATCACATTGCGCAAGAGGTGCATGTAACAATAGATAGAAAAAAATTCTACCATGACGTTTAAGACTCGGTAGCTCAATCGGTTAGAGTTAAAGCACGGAACGCTGTGGTTGCCGGGTCAAACCCCGCACGTATGATTTGTTTTTTATAAAATAGATTTATATTATTTTGTCATTTTGACTAATGACGGTATGTTCTACCTATTTTTGATATCAAATGTTTTTTGCAGGCGTTGCTGAGACCCGGCCGCTTCGACCGTCACATTCTTATCGACCTGCCGACTCTTCAGGAGAGAGAAGAGATCTTCGAGAGGCACCTCAAGAATATTGTGCTTGAAGACCTACCTAAATATTACGTGAAAAGGTAATAGCTTTTTAAATCAGACAAATGTAAGGAATTTGAAGCTATAAGAAATAAAGCTGAAATTGGTAAGAACTTAGCTTTTTCATGTTTAAACAAATAAGTATGTCTTTGAAATATTTTCTATTTAGTGATTATTATTAGAAATTATTTAGAAAATTTAAATCACGTCGAATTAAAAAAAAATCATTTAGTTTTTATTTGGAATTTATATAAATGAAAAATATATTAAATATTTAAAACTTATCAATGACTTCTCAACGTGACTATTAAAATTAAAGTTACATGGGGCGAAATTTATTGAAGTAATCAAATGATGTTTAAGAAATTCGACGATGATTCAATTGGTTAGAATAACAACAGGGAACGCTATGTGTGCCGATTTAAGTCCCGCCCGTGTCATCAGATATTTTTTTATTAAAATTGATATTTTATTTAAATTATTGAGTACTGGTTCAGTGGTAGTAATACAAGCATTAAAAATGTTTCTGCAAAGTACGGAAACACTCTGAATAGGACGAGTTGCGACTTCAGTCTATTTAGTTTTTAATATTACGTAAAAATATTAATTGTAATTAAATAAAGGCTTTATTATTATAATCGAAAATCATTAATTCAAATAAGTAGAAATAGTTACACTTACGAACGTCACACCACTTAAAAACTAAAGATTCTAAATTTACTACCAGTTCTCATATCAGGGGCGCAGAACGAACGAGAAGAGCCGGCAAGAAACTCGCCGCCATTCCTTTTGATCAAGCAATAGTACATTAATCTACGTAGATTAAGGAGAGTGAGCAAGTCTCAGCTGTAGAGCTAAAGGAGATTTTCGTTCCCCTTGCAGACTCGCGTATCTGACGCCGGGCTTCAGCGGTGCGGACATAGCGAATGTATGCAACGAAGCCGCCCTACACGCGGCCAGACACAAACAGAGCATCGTGCGAGCAGCCAACCTTGAATACGCCGTTGAGAGGGTTGTCGGTCTGTATCTGCTTATCTAACGCTTCCTGGTAAGGCGTTGAGTGTGTAAAGTCCCGGTTTCGAATCATGCGGAAACGTAATAGTTACGATCTGGCAGATGCAAAAGTCTGATTAGCTTTTCTCTACACTGATTTTATAGGCAAAGATTTTGTCTCTTTGAACTCGCGAATCTCTGGAACTACGGGTTCGAATTGAAAAATTGTTTTTGTGTTGGTTAAAGTTTTATCGAGGAACACTAAGCTATAAATCGAACTATTCTACGCGAACAAAGTCACTGACATAGCTAGTTTAAAAGGGGAGGACAGACAGGAGTTCACTTGATGAAAAGTGAAATACTCCAGCCATATAACATCTCAACAATAATGCGCTGTCGTCCTATTTTGGCTTGGATATTCGGAAATTCACAGACTGTAACTGAAATGCGATTAAACTTGACAGTTTTTTAATATGTGGACGGTCTCTTATACAAGGATGGTTCTTACCACTTATGTTTACCACCCTTTTAATATCCAGATTTCCAGACGAAGTCGAACATGTTTCAGTGAAATTATAAATTCGTTAGAAAAAGGTAGGACCCAACGAGCTCCTCGAATTTGTGTGTAAATAATTAAGTCGATCAAAGAAACAGACACGAAAATATTTCTATCCAATATCCGACAAGATTTTCGATGATCCACTTCAGGTGCTTTTACTTCCAGGTGGTACGGAGAAGCGAAACCACGCGATGTCGCCCGTGGAGAAGAAGATAGTTGCGTACCACGAGTCCGGGCACGCGCTGGTCGGCTGGCTTCTAGAGCACACTGATGCCCTTCTCAAGGTTACCATAGTGCCAAGAACTAACATGGCGCTGGGATTCGCCCAGTACACGACCTCGGATCAGAAACTCTACACCACTGAAGAGGTGAGACTCTATCTCTCTAAGTTTATACTGTCTGTAGTTACACAATATACACATAAGCATTTTCATGTTTAAAATGCGATGTATATTAGTTAAACATATTAGAAAATTATTTTAACCGACGTTTCGGATGTTTTCCAGCCGCAGTGGTCACGTGACTCCTCCCCGTGACTACGGCTTAAACTTTTACGGTTTTAAACCGTTAAAGTGTTTAAATTTAAATCTCTAAGTATCAAAATTCTAAAGTTAAACAGTACAACAACAACAACGGACGTCGATCAATTTAAAATGTTTAAATAAAACACTTTTAACGGTTTAAAATGCAAAGCATTCGTAACGTCGGCTCGTAGTTGAAGTAAATCGTAAATAAGTTTACTAATATATTTCGCGCTTAGAACCGTTAAAAGTGTTTTATTTAAAATTGTTTCATATACTAGTAGTTGTACATAATAGTTTAAAAGTTACTTTCATAGTAGAGACCAGTTCAGATAATTTTCATTTATTGTTTTTAATACCTTATCTTGAATTAAATTGTAGTAAAATAAAAAAAATCACGAATTCTTAAGTTCGAACCCGCATTGTTCAGTGATAAAAATGTTTTTAGCTCTTCGATCGAATGTGCATGGCTTTGGGTGGACGTGCGGCAGAAGCAATCATATTCAACTCGATCACGAGCGGAGCCAAGAATGACCTCGAGAAGGTCACCAAGATTGCGTATGCGCAGGTGACATAATTCATATACATTTCACTCAATACACCTTAACTTTAGGGATTCTTTAGGGAAACTCCTGATCTCAAAAAATGCAATAATTTTTCACAACGTCTCCAATTTCTTAGTGGAATATATACTCTATACTGATATATAAAGCTGAAGAGTTTGTTTGTTTGAAGGGGCTAATCTCAGGAAGTACTGAATTGAATTGAAAAATTATTTTAGTGTTGGTTAGAACATTTATCCAGCGAAAAGGAGCGAAGAGCAGAGAGGAATGCGAGAAAAACAGGGAAAATTGTTCATCATTGTCGGTTCACGTTGTATATCTTAAATCTATCTCTTTAAATGATATCGAAAAACATGTCCCCGACACTATTAACTTGCAAGAACGACGGCACGCGACCGACGTCGTGTCTAAGAATTATAAATAAAAATAAATTTGGATGCCCAAATTATATATTCTACGCAGACGAAGTCGCTGACACAGCTAGTGCACTAAATATGATAGAGTAACTCACATAATAATTAAAGGTACGCGTGTACGGTATGTCACCAACGGTGGGTCTTTTGTCGTTCCCCGATATAAACGAGCGAGGCAAAAGTCCCTTCAGCAAGACCCTCAAGAATTTGATGGACATGGAAGCTCGCAGGATCATCGCAAAGGCCTATTACAGAACGGAGGAGCTGTTACGAAAGAACGAGGACAAACTAAAGGCGGTTTGTAGTTGGCTTTATTAGATCTTTGTGATATATTACTGCGCCGGCGCAGCGACCCAAGACGCGTTTAGTATTTGTGCCTTGCTATAAATAATTTACTCGAAACTGTTTATAATTATTAATAGGGACTTTTTATTACTTCTTTTACTAGTCATCATCATTTCAATTAATGTTTGTTTTATGACGGCAAGATTGACGGTACAATACCCCAGCGATCTTATCAAGATATGCTGTCGACCTTTACTATGTCGCTATTCGGTGAACTACAGACTAAGTAACGTGACGAAATTTGACGGCTTTTTTAACTTTGGATCTATTGGTGGTGCGTTACCCAGACGAAACATGTTTCAGACAAAAAAAAACAATTAGAACCATATTGAACCAGGTGGGAATCGTACGCACGGCACGTTGATGAGCATTGCTACCATTTAGCCAATGTGTCCACCGCAATGCTTGGGGCTTAACAAATATGTAGTGCATTTAATGTACGCGAAACTGTAAAATGAAACTTGGCGATAGGGAGTAGCGGCGAGTTTCTTGCCAGTTCTTCTCGTACTCGCCCTTGATTTGAGGACTGGTAGTAAATGTAAATTTCAAGTCTAAAGTTTTTATTTTGTGTGTACCTACGTGAATAAATGATTTTTGACAATTCACCTCACTGTTTGTTTTGCGTTTTAGCTCGCCGAAGAATTACTGAAAAAGGAAACGATGAATTACAAAGAAGTCGAAGCTGTCCTGGGCCCGCCGCCGTTCCCGGGAAAGAAGTTCATTGACCCCGTGGAGTTTGAGAACAATTTACGTAATATGGAGAAGGCTGCCTCGCCCGAAGATAGAAGGGAAGTGGGCGCCCCTTCGGCCAAGACGGACTCGCAACCCGGCGTTTAAGCACTGTTTTGTATTATAGATATATTTAAGTAGCTTTCGTAGTGCGAAAATCTTGTAAATCAATAAAAAGTAAATTCTTCTTGAATGTGTTTTATTAAACGAAAAAGAGAAAGAGCAAAATGTCTATTTATTTACATTCTCATTAACGCTTCTATATGAACAATTACAATTAAAACGTCTGTATTTTTGTGTCTCCACTTTTTATATACTATTTAAATAACAATAATTGAACAGAATACAATTAAAATTAAACTCTGCGACGGTTTAAAACGATATTTATTCGTTTAACTTATTTGAAAACTATCTTAACTACGGCCCGTTTCGAATGCTTTCAGCAGCCGTTGTCACGGGAGACGAAGAAGTTTAATATATATCACGTTTTAAGCCGTTACAGTGTTATATTTAAATGTGTACTCGCGTAAATTACAGGCTGAATGCAATTACAAAGACTCGACACATAAAAAACATTGTTCTAAATGTGCTACCTATATAATTCAATAATTCATGGAATACAAACGTAGCATTATACCGAACAATAAAAGGAGTAAACGAAATTAGAAACTAATTGTTTCAAAAACACATCTTTTTTAAAGACGTAAGTGCAATTTGATAGCTACCATTGCAATATGGGGCACCGGTTTTATTAGGCCGATTAATTGAGTTTCCGTTCTATGATCCACAAATGCGGTTGCGAAAAACGGTTGTCGCAATCCAAACTAATATATAAAGGTGACGAGTTTGTTTGAACGCGCTAATCTCAGGAACTACTGGTTCGAATTGATTTTTTTTTATGATTCCTCTTATAATCTAAAAACATCCGGGACACGATGTCTATCTTTTAAGAATGATTCGCAAGAACGACGGGACGCGACCGATGTCGTGGGTAACAGCTTAAATATAAAGATTTGATTTGAAGAGAAGTTTGATACCCAAAAAAATTAATCTACGCGGACGAAGTCGCTGACACAGCTAGTTATTTGATAAAGTCGGAATTTGTCTGGAAAAGAGAGTTTATAACCAAACCATCGCTATCATTCTCAAATTAATTCTATACTATATTACTTTAAAATAACATCCACAAACCGGTTAGTGCAACGGAAACTGGTTTAGAAAACGGTTGTGCCGCAAAACGGTTTATCAAACCGTATCGAGTGGACGCGGAGCGACGTTCATTTCTATATCCCCAGCGCCACAGTGGGCACAAGTCGCGTCCGATCTTAACGCGAGCTCTACTACGGTAAGGAACACCGTCCAATACGATAACGGGATATTAACAATTGAATTAATCTAAACGCTATACAAATCTGAAGCCTATTATCGCAGTTTGAGTCTATTCCTAACTTGTATATTTTCTTGTGTAGCTGATAGTATAAGATATGTCGAAGAAAAGCCAGTTGGAAGTGGAGGCGGCAGCGATGAGACCAACGGCAACGGAATCGACACCCCTCGTATCTAAAGAAGTGAGTATTCATCTGCTATTAAAAAACACTTCAACAGATAAATTAGATATGTTTAAAATTATTATTTAAAAATGTCAATAATGCAATTTTGAGCTTTGAATATTTGATAGAAGGGCGTAGTAGATCTTATAAGCAACAGCACGGAACAGTGTCGCAGGTTCGAATCCTGATCTACTTGCGTATGATTTATTCTTGTTAAATTCGCTTGCGTTAATATGAGTTTTATAAAAAGTTAAGAAACAGCTTGTAGAATATGTATTTAATATAATAATTTAATACGCACGCCACAAAGAAATTTTGCCACAATTAAGATAAGTTAAGTTATGGGATCATTAAAAAAGTGTGTAATTAAAAATCTAATAACGTTTTGTGGGATAGTATGATCTTTTAGAAGCAGAGCAGTTATTTCATCACAATGGGTAATGACACTTAATATAAACAGTAATTATGTGGGATTGAAATTATAACAAGTGATGAACAATTAACCACTTAAAAACTTAACTTGTTTGCTTGATGAATATGTTATGAAATATAATTTTAAAATGTAATATTATTAATAATCATTATACTTTTAAATAAAACACTTTGACGGTTTAAAACGCGATATATTTCCAAATAAGTTTAACTAATATATTAACTATTTACTAAAAACGTTAAAACACATTTTATTTAAAGTTGTACTACTCGCGTAAACTATAGACAGTATTTTTATCATTATACTTGTCACTGCGTCGTAGTGTCGCAAAGCTGATATATATCCAGCGATTATCATCTGTATAAATTGTATAGGTTTGTGGACTTAGTTTACGCGAGTAGTACAACTTTAAATGAAATGTGTTTTAACTTATTTTTTTCTAATGATAATTAGTTTTGAGTAAACATTTTCAGAATAGTAACGACAACGTTAACATAACCTACAAAAAAATCTTTAGTATTTATATAAATGAAAACTCAGAACGATAAGATATTAAACTTATAATCATAGATTAGTAATAATAATAGATTTTCGGATAAATTTTCTACTAACACAATTTTATCAAAATCTGCTTATCCGTTTGACGTGAAAGAGTAGCATTCCCATAACGTTTTAACGTATTTATGAAATTAGTGCGATGGAAACTTGGATGACTGCGTGCAACGTATGTCGTGCGTCTAGGAAAGTCGAGACGGCTGTATCGCTTACGTGTTGCGGTCAGCCATGTTGTATTTGTTACTAGTACTACTATATTCATCCATCAATTATTTGTAAAGTAATAATCTTCATTTTCTTATTAGCTACTAGTTGTGTCAGCGACTTCCTCTAAGTAGAGTGGTTATTTTGGGCATACAGATTGTTTCAGAAAACCTTCTCCCCATCTTTGTAAATTTCAGCCGTTACCCACATATATACTTTTGGATATCTTAAACTGTTTATGCAGCGTACGCATCGGTAACCCACAAAGTTTTTCTCGCATTTTCCGATGTTTCGTCGCACCAATTAGTCACATATAGGCTTATATAGCCTTCCTCAATAAACGCTCTAACCAACACAAAAAATATTTTACAATTCGAGCCAGTAGTGCCTGAGATTATCGCGTTCAAACAAACTCTTCAGCTTTATATATTAGTATAGATTAGCTATTTCATTCTATCGCCAGTATGTCGCCTTATCATGTCACTTCTTTGTGCCTGTCTTACGATACTCTTGCTTTTCACCTGCGGTCATTTAATATAAATCGCTTCTCTTCTTAATTCCTTCTCTCATTAATAAAAACATCATTGATTTGACTAGCGACGCATGCCCTCTGTAACATGACATTCTATGTGCCTCTTGTCCAGGCCTAATGAAACGGTGAAATATTAATTTATTGAAATATTGTGTGCCTTAATACGCAAGTGTTAAGGTAGAAATTACTTGGCGAGAGGTGCATTATCAATAAGTTTAAAAAAATTCACATGAGGTGTAGGACTGGTAGCTCAATTGGTAGAGCAACAGCACGGAAAGCTGACGATGCCGGTTCAAGTCCTCGAGCTTTTTTCAATTTTTTTCGATTTTTAAATTATACTGTGTGTAGTTTACGCGAGTAGTCCACATTTAAATAAAACCATTTAACGGTGTAAGATGTGATGTATGTAGGTTTCAGTTTCTGGAAAACACCCGAAACATAGTTAAAATAATTTACCTTTAACTAATATACATCGCGTTTTAAACCGTTGAATGATTTCAAAATAAACGAATGTGATATATATATTTTTACGACAATTTGGTATTCTCTATATACATAATAGCGTCTATCAAAATTCAATATGCATTATTAATGATATCGTCTCGTCGACGTATAACTTTTAACTTGAATTCAAGGTTTTTATCTTGTAGCTGTGACGAAGAGATTACCGATTCCCCCGCGATAATAATAACAAGAAACTATTCTTTATGAACTATAAAGAAATTGACTTATAAAAAGCCATTTATGACTGCCACTTAGAGTATTTGTTGTCCTTGTCGCGCATATTTATTAGAAAGAGAGCGAAGCACTCACTCGTGGGTTCAGAATTCGCCCATCTTTACTAGTATATAAAGCTGAAGAGTTTGTTTGTTTGTATGTTTGAACGCGCTAATCTTAGGAACTATAGGTTATAAAACATCGCCCTCTTGACTAATACAAGCGAAAAAATTGGGAAAATTGCATGCACAAAATAACGATTCTCGCGGACAAACTCGCTGACACAGCTAGTATGCAGTAAAATGAGAAAAAGGTAACATTTACAGAGTGCAACATTTTAATATTCTATCCTATATTTTGCTCGTACAAACTTTCACAGGCAGGCCTCGAACCCATCACCCGATCATCGATATAATTTCTCGTTCTTGATTCTAATAATAAAACTGAGCAATTCATTATTAGTATTGTAAACGTTGTGATTCTTTAAAGGGCGTCGATAGTGCTGACGGAGGTAAAGATGGCGGCCCGACGAGAGGATTGTCGGTCAGACAAACCGCTATTTTGGTGGCCGGGGAGATGGCGGGAAGTGGAGTACTGGCTTTACCACGTGCTCTCGTCAAGACAGGTTTGTTTACGCCTTTACTACTTGCAATGCTTAGCGAAAATTCATACCTCACTTGTTCAGCGCATCGCTACAAGGTATAAGTTCAATGGTTATTGATAAATTATATTTAGACACGACGTAAGAGTCAAAAGTATTCAAGAAGCTCGAAGAGAGAATATTTTTTGTTATTATGAAGAAACACTTCCTAGTTTGCATATGATAAGGATATAGAACATTCTAGAAGCAAAATGACGAGTTAATACCTAATCTAACTTTAGTAACGTGAATTATAACAAACAAACAAACAAACAAAAAATACTTTATAATATACTAGAGACCCGGTTTCACTCGGGTGCAATGCAAACTAAATACACTACAGATACTATAAAAACTCTCCTCTTGAATCACTCTATCTATTTAAAAATCCGTTGCGTTGAAGATTTAAGCGTAGCATAGGGAGGGAAAAAGCATACACACACACTTTGTTTTATTCTATGTAGTAATTAATTATTATTTTTAAGTCGCGACCACTAGTTAACAACATTAGCGCGTTCAAACAAACAAACTCTTCCAGTTCTTCAAGTTAATACATGCATTTCTTGTTCTACAAACAATGTGATCAGTTAATGATCAACACTAAATCATGATATCGTCGAAACGTCGGGCCACAGTTAAAATAATTTTCAAATAAGTTTAACTAATATATACCGCGCTTTAAATCGTTAGTCTTTTATTTGAATGTGTAATACTCGCGTAAACTAAAGACAGTATGATAACATATTTTTTATTGGCCAATATAAAAAGTTTGTACATACGAACAAAAATAATCTTATCTGTCTGTCTGTACGTACAAAAACCAAGCAGATGTCCACGCAGACACAATATCTTAAAATTAAATAATTATTGTTTCCTACTCATTATCAGTAAACAGAATGAAAGAAAATAATAGTTTTACATAAAGCCTATTTGTTGTTAAGTAATTTTCTTAGTATTTAATCCGCTTACGGTACTTTTTCTTCTTGAGTTTCAACTAATCATTAGTTGGTGGTTGATTTCAATGTTTCCTTCCTTAGAATATACTTATGTATGTAAACGTTTCTACAACTCCTTTCCAAGTACACAAAGAATAGTAAAAATACTACAATTACGACTATGACACTTGGACAAGTAGATGTGCCCAGCCCAAAAGCAATGGTGCAGTAGTGGACAGCGATGGGTAGTGGATTCAGATCCTGCATGTGTCCATATGTATAAATTGTCAAGGTAACTTCTGAATCTCAATACAGTATTGCCTGTGCGCTTCAGTCAAATTAAACACTTTTGACGGTTTAAAACGCGACATATATTAGCTAAGCTTATTTTCAGTCTCCCCGTAGTTAAATAGATTGTAAATAATTTGAACTAATCAATTTCGCGTTTTGAACCGTTTATTAAGTTGCAAGCTCTAAAAACTCGAACTAGAACGAACGAAAGGATTGGCAAGAAACTCGCCGCCACTTACTTTTATATATTTAGTTATCCCGTTTATCGAAAGCCCGAGAAATGTCCATCACTTTTATTCTAATTTAATTCATCGTAGATTTGAAAATCTCCTTTGCTCCGAATAGATACCAACAATCTATTAATGGCTTACAGTCTAGTCGGTTTGAATTAAGATCGTAGATGGGTACAAATTGGTTCGCATCTATAGTGCAGCGATGGCAACCCAATTGTTGGCATAGTTAGGGCGAGTACACGATACATTTTTACGGCTTCCGTTTTTTCAGGTCAACAACCCCACTTACTGGCTGTTATTGATGAAAGTTGATTCGGCTCACTTTTTACTGATTCATTTTGGTACTTCAATCCGTGAAAGTAATTTTTCTTAAACATCAACTTAGTGTGTCTTCACCATTTTGAATTTATTTAAATATATTTCTTAAAACCGTTATGTTTCCCAGGATTCGAACCTAGCACCCCTCTTAATCCAATGCTTAGCAATGAGTTTAACGATTAAGTAACAGAGAGGACATCAATAATATTTTCACAAAATATGTATATATTTATTTGCTTATATTGTGTGTACATTTAATTGAATCACTTTTAACGGTTTGAAACGCGAAATGCATTAGTTATGTTTAAGTACGACATTTAGGTGGTTTAAGCCGTTAAAAGTGTTTTATTGATATGGTTAATGGAGATTAAAAATCGAAAATAAACTGAAAAAAAAAATCGTCTCGGGCAGAACTTAAACCGGCATCGTCGATTTTTTTTCTCATCTTATTGATTTACGCAACTCTCGCGCAGTGTAATCTCAACCTTAGCACTTGCGTATTAAAGTTCAATGTCTTATGCTTTGCTCCGAACGGCATGGAACGCTGACGATGCCGGTTCAAGTCCTGCCCGAGTCGAAAATTCAATTAACTTCCGGTTTTAATCTATATGATGCCATCATGTGCAATAATAAATAACATGTAAAAATATGAAAGCTTTCAAAGGATTTGTATACATGTTAGATGTGTAACAGCGAAGCGAATTCTTTTTATTATGATAGCGAATGTCATTATCTATTAGCATAATATTAATATCTTCTAGCGTAGCGTGAGTCCAGTCGCACGTATCGCATACCGACTATTACAGCCAATATCACTTTTATTCAACCTTTTTTATAAGATAACTTTCGTTTCATTGACGTATTGTTACTTTGCCTGCCGAATTACTCCAGTCGTATATACACCTAGCCCTCATCACGTTATTTGATTCCTACTTATTTTTCTCTATCCCTAACCAATGGTAGAAAAATATCATGGAATAATATGTCTAGGACCACTGAAAATACAGCTCAAGTCACGTCCTATCTATTCTATTCAATAATTTAAATATATAACACATCTAGTGGAAAATTCCACAATGTTATATGCACAGTATCTTTATATAAATACTATTTTTGTATCGGAATAGGAATGGTTCATATTCCGTTTGTTGTGAAATCGCTTCGGTCAATGTCCTTGTGGGACCCAATTTCAAGCGTGAACTTGGAACAAACCGGTCCCTGTTGCTTCTCATATAATGAATGTAGTTATAATAATGACATGGTCTTACCGAGTGTGTGTGCGGACCACATTTTCACATAAGTATATTTAAATGTCGAAGACGACGTCATTAAAATAATTTAAATTGGATGCAAAGGAAAATAAAATCGATGGTCTCGTTGGTCTAATGGTAGCAATGTAATGTATGGGGTGTGGTTTTGATCCCCACCAGGTCTAACATGTTTTTAATTAAATACTGTCTATAGTTTACGCGAGTGCGAAAAACTGTGAATAATAGGAGTAAAGAAACAGCGGGAAATGTAGAGAAAACTGTGAAAATTCATCTAAGCATACACAGCTAATATAGAACGTATAAGTTTTAATTTTTTCAAGCTTTTGTTATAAAGGTTTTCAGAAAATACAGTTGTATCGAGAAGCCATTTATTTGAGCGGCTCCGCGTGCGAAATCACGAATTAAGTGAAGCCTTTTGCCCCTATCGGACTTCACCTTGAGCTGTTTAGCTGTTAGACTAACTTATTTAATTAAAACATATATCAAAGGAATACTACACATATTCTAAGTAACAAGCTGAGTTAGCGATTACGTACGCGTTCAATAGTTATTTCGGGTATAAATAGCAAAGCTTTTCATCTTTGTAAATTTAAGCTGTTACACACGATGTCGACCGCGTCTCGTTTTTGCAAGTTAATCGTAAAAAATAGTGTCGCGACTTTTTTTGATATTTCAAGAGGAAATTCTATTGTATATAATTTTTTGGTATCTTAAACCGTTTATCCAGCGTACGCAGCGGAAAGCTACAGAGATGTTTAATTTCCCCCAATTTTTTTTTCAAAATTTTCCCGCTGTTTCTTCAATTATATTAGTCTCAGGGCGATGTTTTATGGCCTACTAGCTGTGCCCGCGACTTCGTCCGCGTGAAATAGTGATTTGGGGTAGAATTTTTAATTATTGGGGCTGTTTATTAATTTATGTAAGGGTGCATTTAAGGCAGCCAATCTATGGTAAGTGCTACTTTGCCGCAACACTCTCACCTCACATCACCCCTACTCTAACTCCCACTCTCATTCCTACACTCACTCCCACTCCCATGCCCACGCCCACGCCCACCCCTACCCCCACCCCCCACTCCTATTCCCAAAAAGCCAAAGAAAAAAGTTTCATTGTTCTAGCTTCAAAAACCACGAATTTCCATACAAAATTTCACCCCTACCCCCTTTTCGCAATAAAGTAACCATGTCCTTTCTCAGGGTCTAGACCATCTGTATACCAAATTTCATTCAAATCCGTCCAGTAGTTTTGGCGTGAAAGAGTAACAGACAGACAGACGGAGTTTCGCATGTATAATATTAGTAAGGATAGCCTCCCTTAGTAAATGCTCTACCAACAAAAAAATAATGTTTCTATTCGAACCAGTAGTTCCTGAGATAAGCGCGTTCAAACAAACAAACAAACTCTTCAGCTTTATATATTAGTATAGATAGATATTGCGTATGTTTCTTCCATTTCTTGTCACATGATTTTTTCTTGCATTCAAAGCTTAATAACGTAAGTAACTAACGTGAAAAGAGGGTAGTTACGCCTAAACAATATTTACTCTGAATTTAAACAATAAAATTTAATTTAATGTACTGGTTTCCGAACTTACAAAGCATGTATAAATTTAGTTACGCCACGGAGTCATTAAGTTATATGCGTTTTCTTGAATATTGTAAATCTGAATATTAAATATCAAGTACTATAAGAAACCAGTTTAGCTGTGATACATACTGCATCTAAATATAGGACGTTAATATTGCGCAATAATTTATAACTAAGAATCAAATTCTAGTCAAACTCGGCCTACACATTTCGACATAGTTTTTATTAAATAGATTAGCATAACTCGGCTTTTTACATTTTTCGACCCTATAGAAGATGTGAAAGAGAGGGATGCAATTGTGACAAGAGAGACAGAGATGGAATGTAACCGGTCTAGCGAGTTTTTCTACTAATGAGGTAAATTACTTTGGGCGTTATAATAACAAATTATTTAAAAAAAACACGATTTCTATCGTAGTACCTAAATAGCCTTTTTACGCACGTTTTTTTCTTGCATCTTATATATTAACTCGTGGGCTTTGTAAATCGTGATTGTGGGCCATAAAAACGTATAAACTACAATTAAATAGAATCTTTAAGATATAAATAATCTATTTTAACGGTTTAAAACGCGATATATTTTAGTTAAACTAAACTGGAAACTTTAATATTTTTCACTTATTGAACACGATGGCGTTATATAACGGTGCGAGAGATGCATGTTTCAATAGCTTGAAAAACTCAACTCGGTAGCACAATTGGTTAGAGCAACAGCACGGAACGCTGATGATGCCGGTTCAAGTCCAGCCCGATTCGTTATTCGATTTATTTTCGATTTTTAACTAAACTGGAATCGAACCTTTTCGCACAATAGACCGTGCGTTATAGCTAATTATTACGATTATCAATCCTATTCATCTACCGCTACTAAGCTTTTAATGCACTTAGGTAATTACAACGCCTACGAAAAATATTATAAAGTCTCTTTAGTAGAAAACTATCAATTTTATAATATATTGTCGTTATTCAGCTCTGTGTCTCAGTGGGTAAACATGCGAAAACAGAATGGTGTTGGCCGTGCAAGGCATTGTATTTTCATAAACTTGCAAGAGGCAATCATATTTATTTATTATAGCTTTGTTATTTATAACGCACATATGAAAGAGGAAAAATCTTAAGTACTAAATTATAAATAAAAGGCGGCGTTATCGCTACGTCAACCTTTTCCAGTCAACTTGAAAACGGGAAGAAAAAAACTAATAATACTAAAGAAACGTAAAGGTACATAGTAACAGTATACCTAACAAGTAAGAGAGAAATACTCGGTAGTTGACGCAAGTGGTACACATTTAAATTTTAAATAAAACACCTTAACGGTTTAAAACGCGATACATTCGCGTGGACATTGTGGAAATAAAAATAGAGTATATAAGATAATACGTGACTTAAACAAGATTTAATCGAATACTGTCTATAGTTTACGCGAGTAGCACATTTAAATAAAACACTTTTACGGTTTAAAACGCGATATATTAGTTAAACGTATTTGAAAATGATTTTTAACTTCGGCCCGACGTTTCGTTTCCATCCGAAACGTCGGGCCGTAGGCACAAATAATTTACAAACCTGTTTAATTAAAATATATCGCGTTTTAAACCGTTAAAGTGTTGAAAAAATAAAACTTATAGAACTCTTAAAATAATTTTCAGTGTCCGTTTATATAAAATACATCAGCACAACAGATACACAGACATGTGGGACGAACTTTCACTGTGTCTATTGATACCAGATGATATATCTCTCAAAGAGATCCAGTGTCGCATGCTGGAACATTCCTCACGCTTCAAAGACCAGCCGGTGCAAATTAACTATGAAACCGTGACTGCCACTTATAAATTGTTACACATATATTATATTACATATTATTAACTTTTGATATGTTAGAACAGAATTAAATGTAAAAATTACCCTAAAACCACTGCTCGGAAGAGCCTCCCACCACGCTGCTTTCGTTGTCGTTAAAACCCGGTTTGTGGACTTAAGGGACTGTTAGGATAAAGGGACCAATGACGAGCTTTAAACGTACAAAACATATTAAACAATGTGTTAAGATTATATTTGAGATCATTATTTATTCGCGCATTTTGAAAAAAAGGTATATAGTTCATCTACCAGGGAATAGATTTCGCAAGTTTGAGCGAGGCCAAGCGATCTTTGTATACGAAATACTTGGATTTAAAACGGGCTGTATCTATCCGAATCTAATGTTATACTAGAAGCCAAATAACTTAGATCGCTATCGAAACGAGCCAAATTTTATTGAAATCTAATAATTTTATTTTCCTGTTTCGCACAGCGAAGCGCTTTTAAATATTTGCTAACATATATAGATATGTATATATTAATTTCTGCTCTGCTGGAAATTTTGTTTAAGGTTAAGGTCTGTCTCCTGGAAGATTGTATATCCTTAATGGAAAATAATTCATAATTATTAATATACATTGTAGTGTTAAGGGAAGCGAACGTGTGTTTTTGTTAAATACTGTTTGTAGTTTACACGAGTAGTACACATTTAAAAAAAACACTTTTACGTTTTTTTAAGGATACATTTTAGTTAAAATTGTTTGAAAATTATTTTTAACAACGGCCCGAGTCGGATGCTTTGCGCAGCCGTGACCACGGCTGCTAAAAATAAATTTAAATATTAAAATAATTTTCAATAGATTTAACTAAAATATATCGCGTTTGAAACGGTTAAAGTGATTTATTTAAATGTGTATTTGTTTTCCTATATAAAACCTTTTCGTATGTAAAATTAGACTAATTAATTATATATAAGTTTCGTAGAATGCGAAGTATTTACCTGTATACTGAACTAACTTACCAATAGATACCAATGTCATTTATCATAAGTCCGTGCGTTTATTTTAAGTGATTACTTTGAATTTGACCATATATTAAGTTATTCACTTAAGCTATTATATAAAACTTTTTAGAATGTAAAATTTGTATTAATTTTATAATCTTTCCAGTAATTGATAAATTCTCTTTGTTTGCAGGTTGGGTTGGAGTACCGCTAATCATACTGATGTGTCTCGCTGCCGCCTTCAGTGGCAAGGTGTTGGGAGACTGCTGGACCATGGTGGAAAGTCGGAATCCAAACATGAGGACCAGGAAACGTAATCCATACGCTATTATCGCAAGCGAAGCTTTGGGATCGATGTGGAGGTATGCTTTACGTCTATACTAGTACATATATAAAGTTGAACAGTTTGTTTGTTCGAACGCGCTAATCTCTGTAACTATAGATTTGAATTGAAAAAGTCTATTTGTGATGGTTAGAGCATTAATCAAGGAAAGCTATAAAACATTGCACTGTGAATATATACATATATAATAAGGGTGAAGAAACTATGTGAAAGCCCGTTTCCTCCTCCTGAGGCATGGGGCGAACACGTTTCTGTGTCATTTCTTTTAACGGGCAAGTAGTTGGTCAGACTTCTGTGCCTTGCCGGCTGAAACAATTTTATTTCTCCGGATCTACTGGTTCGAATTCAAAAATGCTATTTGTGTTGGTTGATCAGAAAAGCTATAGAACACCAGGCTGTGACCAATGGGAGCGAAGTAACAGAGGGAAACGTGGTAAAAACGGGGAAAATTATTGCTGTTTGAAAATAAAAAAAAATATTTTTTTTTTTACATGCCCAAAAATTTGTATTATAAATAATGATGTTTCTTTAAATAAATTTAAAAAATGTCCGCGACAGTATATGTTTTTCTTTAAATTTTTACCTCACAAGAACTGTTTTTATGGTAATCATCGTCGAAATAATTCATATGGCATAAGAACGTTTGCCAGGTCAGCCCGTGTTTAATATTCCGCAAAAATTAGTTCTTAAATAGCCTCTTCTTAATATAACAAAGATTCACCTAAATATTCCGTCTCACTTGTAGCGTGGTGGTATCTCTTGCACTGGTGGTGACACAGTTTGGAATGTCCGTTGTGTACCTGCTGCTAGCAGCTCAAATTATCGAACAGATCTTCCTGTCCTTGATGCCGAATGTCACCATTTGTATATGGTATCTGGTGGTCGCGGCTGGCGTGTCGCCCCTACTTCTGTTCGGAACTCCCAGGGATTTCTCGTAAGTTATCATTTAAATGTGTATTAAGCATATATATTATACTTATCTGACATAAAAATTATGTCAGATAAGCATGGGAGGGACTTGATGGTAGGTGTAATACCACAGCCGTATACCATCTAAACAAGTTTCGCTGTCTACCTACTTTAGCTTTCGATATTTGGAAATCCACAGACTGAACACGAAAATCGATTAATCGTGATGCCTTTTACGTCCGTGGACAGTGGCTCGTGAGTCTAACGGTGTTTATTTATTTGATAATTTGATATTTTAAGACAATTTACATGTTTCAAAAAAATAAATTGATTAAGAAAATGTTTGACCCAGTGGGGACCCGTTGTTATTAGTGCTACACTTGTGCCAACGAGCCGCTCACAATTTTTATAACACGCTGAACACAGGATGTTGGGCTTCGTGGCTTTCGTGTCGACCGTGGTTGCCTGCTTGCTGTACTTCATCCAGATGATGAACGACATCAAACCCTTCGTGTTCCGCTGGGGAATCCACGGATTCACTGACTTCTTCTTAGCGTTCGGTACCATCATGTTCGCTTTCGGCGGCGCGTCGTCTTTCCCGACCATCCAGAACGACATGACCGACCGCTCCAAGTTTAACACTAGTCTCAAATACAGTTTCGCAGGTAAGTTATTACGTTTTTATCATTATTCAATGTCATTGAGAAGACCTTATGGCAGTCTGTACGATGTTCAAAAAAGATAAGTTTTATGTTCATTTAAATATATTATGTGTAAGTACTAATATTATAAAGGAGTTTGTTTGTTTGATAGCACTAATCTCAAAAATTTGCATTTATCATGGAAGGTTTTAAGCTATGAAATATTACGCGGCCAATTGGAGCGAAGAAAACTAGAAATGTGAAACAAACGGGGAAAATTATTCATTTTTGAGAACGGTTTAAGAAACCAAAAAATATGTATGAAATAATGATTCCTCTTTAAGTGAATTAAAAAAACGTTCGTGACAGGTCCGTGGTCTATCGCTTAAGATTCACTTGGAATAACGACAGAACGAGACCGACGTCGTGGGTAACTAAGCTACAATTTATAAAGATGAGGCGGTTTCTAAAAACAACTTTGATGCCCAAAATTTGCTTTTCTACGCGGACAAAGCCGCTGAGACAGCTAGTATATAAAAAAGTCAGGGGTCGCAAACCTTACAGTCAGAAGTGCGTGCTACTCAACTAACTCGTTCGCATGACTAATTGTCGTATTATCGTTCCAGCCATTTTGGCTCTTTACTTGCCAATCACTATCGCCGGCTACGCAGTGTACGGTGAGGCCGTAGCACCCAACGTGTCAGCCTCGCTGTCCGCCACGCCCCTCACGCTGGTCGGTAATGTCCTAATGACCGTCCACTTGCTGGCCGCTTTTATTATCTTGGTTAATCCAGTCTGCCAAGAATTGGAGGAGCTTTACAATGTGCCAGCAGGTAAGTTGTACTCGGATCCATGTTCAGATGCACCGTTTCGAACAGTGCCATCTAGTGGCAGTTCATGAAACTACAACTTCAAGTGCAGATTAATTTGTATGTTAAATAATGTTTTAATTAAAGTAAGAACCAATACGTAAGTAACTTATTCACAATGTTTGTCATTGTAACCCAACTTTGACATTAAAATACTGCTAACCTTTATTTAGTTCCTTATGTAGTTTCGAGGCATTTGATATAGTTTTTCGTTCGTCCTACAATTTCAGAGTCAGTCGGCTACCGGACGCTAGTGCGTCTTTCTATAATCGGTGGTATCCTATTTATCGGTGAAAGCATCCCTCGTTTCTACACAATCCTGGCGTTAGTCGGTGGAACCACGATCGCTTTACTGACCTTCGTGTTACCTTCTTATTGCTACTTGAGCCTCTTGAGCAAGGGACCGGCTGAAGGACAACCGCCTTTGTAAGTTACCTAAAATACCATCTAAACTCGATTGTGATTTGTATAACACTTTTTTCAGATTAATACGTAATAAATAGACATAATTCTATTATTATAACATGAAATGTATGATGTGGAAAATACAACAGAGGACATTCATCTGAATACTGTCTGTAGTTTACGCGAGTACACATTTAAATAAAACACTTTAACGGTATGTATCTATTCCGCGGAAGTTCGCTAAATACTAACTTCGACGGAACAGATGGCGTTAACGTAGCAGTTTACTTTGATGGCTGCTGAAAAGCAAACGAAACGCCGGGCCGTAATTAAAATAATTTTCAAATAACTTATATCTTTCGCGTTTTGAACCGTTGAAGTGTTAAAATGACATTCATCTCTTTAGAATGGAACTAATGACTTTTATATTTTGTGACAGCGCGTCCTCTAACTGGACCAAGCTGTTCTGCTGGGAGGTGATCGTGGTGGGTGTCGTGGGTGGTGCTTTCGCCACTTACAGTGCTCTCAGCGCCATCTTCAGTACCGCACAAGCCGTGCCCTGCTACCTACGATAAGTAACTTTATTGTACAGTTAGCAGTGCATCACCCACTCTACTTTAAGTTACATTAGTTTCTAATGGGATTTTTACAAATAAAATTGTCTCTTAAAACATAATATATTATTGTTTTTCGGGTTCTCGTAAATTCGAGATCAATCGAGATGCTAACATCTCCCGATGATGCCATGCCCTCGTCATGGCGAAATAAACGAGAACCTCTTCTCGTTTATGTCGGCCGAAGAACTCGAAAAACAAGGATATGCTGAACGATGGCCGTCGAAGCCTTACACAATTTATAATAAACTATTATTATTATTAAATAAAAACAGTCTTGGTCTGCTATTCACAATAACACGTGCACCTCAACTTAAACGGATGGACTGACTCAATATCAATTTTTACGCCTATTCAATTTACATGTGCAAAATGTAGATACACACCTTTTGCTATGAACGTTTTGTATGGTTGCTAATTCATCTTTTTAAATGTATTGAGTTAATTTAGAGTTAAGTTGCATTTTGTGGAATCAATATCTAAGAGTCGCTAACATATTTGTATCAAATGGAATCGAAGAACATATTTTTTAGTGTTTTATATGTCTATATTATACTGATCTTTGAATACAAGCGCTAATAATGTGGAGAGGTTGATCAAAGATAAATGGAAGCCATTTTGCTAAATAAATAATGATAGTAAATTACGGGCATTATATCAGTTAAATATTCTGTAGTGTTATGAATTATCGAACAATTTGTGCGTGAGCGGCATACAGTACATTTATTTTTATCTATAATGAATTTTTCTACTTGTTTATAAATAAACAAATGCATGTAGTTTTTTTGTTTTATTTTACTAATATTCTTACTTTTTATTTATACAAGTGCAATTACATTATAATCTAAAAAAGGGGGTTTATGTTTAAAAACATATTTTTTTAGCGCTTAATTTAATAAGGTTATAATTTAACTACTGTCTGTAGTTTACACGAGTAGTACACATTAAAATAAAACACTTTAACGGTTTAAAATGAGAAATATATTAGTTAAACTTATTTACAAATCAATTTAACTATGTTTCGTTTTGGATGCTTTGTGGTAGCTATGGTCACGGGTTTTACTAAAATATATCACGTTTCAAACGGTTAAAATGTTTTATTTATAGATGTGTAGACAGTATTTAAATTATTATTACCATGTTAAAGTAAGCACTAAAACATTAAATATATAAATATTATTTTTAAAAAATCATTAAAATTACAATGTCATGACAGGTGGGAGCCCAATTCAACACTGAACTTAAAATCTAACATACAAATATACAATTACATATTCAAGTTCTAATTTGCCGTATGTCGTTATGGAATCGATACATCTCTGCTCAGCATTCCCTGATAGATTTGATTCAAACACACGAACGCAACTTCGTTAAGCAAGTGCGCCGCTGTTCTAGTGAATATTTTACCTAAATGATAACTTGAAATTTTGATAGTACCTACTCAATACTATCGTACTGTTACCAACGATTGTTGATCTTATTTTAGTGAGGTCTATCTAAAGGTCATAATAAGCACACAGTGACAATCACGCCGCCAAAACAGACGTCTCCGCGCGATAAAACGTAAGTGTTTTCATCCCATACATTCAATCATTAATTAACGCTATTTGATAAAATAAAATATAATTGGCCTAAATATAATTATTTTAATTTTATAAGCTTGTGAGTTTATTGAGTAAAATAAAAAAAATATGTTACTAATTTCTAGTCTCTCTGCGTAGCTAATTTATGCATATTTGTCTATATATGTCTGTTTCTCCAATCTACTTGTTTTTATATGAGAGATTTTTATATAATGAGTTTTCTCCGTTACCTCGATTCAAATTTAGGTCTATTCGCGTTCAACGCACTGGACACGAGTGCGGACTGAACATTAAGTTTGACCGCCTCTGTAGCCAAATGGTCAAGAGAGGTCCTGGGTTCGAATCCCAGGGAAACATAAAATTGTTTCGGTCGGGCAGGGCACAAAAGTCCGATCAACTACTTGCCTGTTAAAGAACCGATCAGTGAAACGGACATAGAAATGTGTTCGCCCCATGCCCCACGAGGGGGAACGGGCTTTCACACACATGTCTAGTATATGTTTCTAGGATTAAACATCAGCTATCCTTTTAGTAGAATAATAAATAGTACAGTCAATTGTCTTTACACGATGTATTTGTATTATCTCAATCGTTTTTCAAACACCACGCACGTAATAGAGAATATTATCTGTGTTTGGTTAACCATTACTTGAATTTACGTAATCAATGCTCTCCGATAAATTGAACTGATACTAAAAGGGCCCAAGGTTCACGGGAACCAATATTTTTTATTAGGAAACTTTACATAGTACATAATTTTAACTTAGTTAATAAAACCGGTCAAGTGCAAGGCGGACTCGCCCACAAAGACGGGCTCGTTAGTCAATGGTAACAATATAGGGGTAATGATCAACGGGTCGTGGATTCAATTCCCACCAGGTCCAACATGACTGAAAATCTGGATATTAAATGGGTGGTAGGAAAAAAAAGCCGTGAAGCTTAATCGCGTTTCGGTTTCAGTCTGTGGATTTGCGACTATCCAAAGCCAAAAATGGGTCGACAGCGCACCTTCTTTAGATGCTATAGGCTGGGGTATATAACATACCATCAAGTGAACATGCCATGTATAGTACTTTATCATTAAAAAAACAATTGGTTCCTTACCATTGATTAAACAACAGAAGGTTTACACAAATTGTGTAGTTTGTACATTTATTCGTAGGTACAAAGCGAAAATTGACAAAGATTTAGTTTTTTGAATGGAAAATATTTTTTTATGATTGTTATAGTAAATTATCACAATTTCGTGCTTCTTGAGATCGTTTGGAGCGAAACATAACAATTTAGTCTATATACTTAAGTTTATCTAAAAACTATTAATGTGGTCCGTATTTACAGAAAAACAACACAATGGTTATAAGCTGCATGGTAAGATCCGTGATTCGTCTACATCAACCGGCCATTATAACAACATTTTGCAGAAGGGCGCATAATATAAAGGGTAAGACATTTTAATTTTACACTATCTCCTCTTTAGATCCCACTGGTGGGACTCGAACTTTCTTAGAGGAAAATATGTGTTGATAAATCCTAGACATATTAGTTCCCTCAAGGTGGTAAGTAAAGCATCAATGTACATAATTTAAAAATCGAAAATTAATTGAAAAAATTTTCGACTCGGGCACGACTTGAACCGGCATCGTCAGCGTTCCGTGCTGTTGCTCTACCAATTGAGCTACCGAGTGATTTTTTTTTTCAATTTATTTTCGATTTTCAAGTAATATAGTGCGTTCATGTGCGCACATGTAAAAAATAATAAAGTTTTCAAATCAATGTACATATTAACTTTGATGTTCACGACATTTAGTTACACGTAATCTGCAAATGAAAATACTAAAACCGCTTCTTGATGTTAATATTTGTGTCGGCTTTGCGTAGTATGAAATTGCAAAAGTACTAGATTTTCGCCTTGCTGAACATTTTTTGATGTTCGGTTACCTAATAAAACACTAACGGTTTAAAACGCGATATATGTTTACGTTACGTCTATGCAGCCGTGACCACGCTGCTGCAAAGCATCCGAAATTTTGGGCCGTAGTTATAGTAATTTTCAAATAAGTTTAACTAGTATATATCGTGTTTTAAACCGTTAAAGTGTTTTATTTAAATGTATACTACTCGCGTAATCTGCAGACAGTGTTTCGTTACCTGCTACAAGTAGTTGGGCAGTTTGTACCTTGGGGCAGATCAATTTTATGTACGCTGATCTAAACACTAAAGTTTGTAAAAAAACCCAACAGAATTAAAAATTAAAACATTTATTTTTTTTCTTTTTTTTAACACAAAAAAAAACCCCCCCCCTTCTTTTTTTTTTTTTTTTTTTTTCTTTTTTTTTCTTCCCTCCCTTTCCTTTTTTTTTTTTTTTTTTTTTTTTTATTTAAACCCCCCTTTTTTTTATTTAAAAAATAAAATTTTTTTTTTTTTTTTTTTTTTTTTTTTTTTTTTTTTTTTTTTTTTTTTTCCTCCCCCCCACCAATATTTTTTTTTTTTTTTTTTTTTTTTTTTTTTCCCCCCCCCCCCCCCCCCCCCCCCCCCCCCCCCCCCCCCCCCCCCCCCCCCCCCCCCCCCCCCCCCCCCCTTTTTTTTTTTTTTTTTTTTTTTCTCCCCCCCCCTTTTTTTTTTTTTTTTTTTTTTTTTTTTTTTTTTTTTTTTTTTTTTTTTTTTTTTTTTTTTTTTTTTTTTTTTTTTTTTTTTTTTTTTTTTTTTTTTTTTTTTTTTTTTTTTTTTTTTTTTTTTTTTTTTTTTTTTTTTTTTTTTTTTTTTTTTTTTTTTTTTTTTTTTTTTTTTTCTTCCTCCCCCCCCCCCCCCCCCCCCCCCCCCCCCCCCCCTTTTTTTTTTTTTTTTTTTTTTTTTTTTTTTTTTTTTTTTTTTTTTTTTTTTTTTTTTTTTTTTTTTTTTTTTTTTTTTTTTTTTTTTTTTTTTTTTTTTTTTTTTTTTTTTTTTTTTTTTTTCCTTTTTTTTTTTTTTTTTTTTTTTTTTTTTTTTTTTTTTTTTTTTTTTTTTTTTTTTCCCCCTTTCCCCCCCTTACACTTCCTCACCCTGCCTAACACTGATTGAACCCAGGACCTTTCGAAATTACCTAACAACTGAACCGTTCATTCATTTATTTAACTTTTACAAGCGCGATTATCTGATGAACCGAACAATGTGTTTTTAATCATTAGTATTTATTCAAAACTAATCGCCATTTTTACAATTTGTTTTTAATCATTATATTTTTTTCAAAACTAATTCGCGCTAATTAAGGATGTAATTGCGCAATAACCGTAAAAATACAATTAATTAATGTTGAGAAATATTAACGCTACGTTGCGAATGTATGTTTACCCCCCGCGGCGTCAAAAGTTATAAACATAGTGATAACGATTATAAGGTCGCAAGGATAATACGTGACATTATACATAGTACGCGGTATATGTGTTTTGATATCAAGTATTACTAGAGCGCTATGCTATTTTGGCGTTCGCGTTTTTTTTAAATTATCTGTTTGTTTAAAAAAGAGACGAAATTTTTTTCAATTTATTTTCGATTTTTAAATGAATAAATTATATAGTGCCTTCATGTGCAATAACATGTGAAAAATATTAATGTTTTCAAACGTTATAACTTTGTAATTTCAACTTCAATGATTTTTTTAAGCTGCAAAGCATAAGACATTGAACCTTAATACGCATGTGTTAAGGTTGAAATTACATTGCGCGAGAGGTGCATGTATCAATAAGTTGAAAAAATTCGACGATGAGTTGTAGGACTCGGTAGCTCAATTGGTAGAGCAACAGCACGGAAAGCTGATGATGCCGGTTCAAGTCCTGCCCGAGTCGAAATTTTTTTCAATTTATTTTCGATTTCTTTTTAATTATCTGTTTGTTGCTGAGCGGCCGCTAATAATTGTTTCAGTGTTGAAATTTCGAGAAAAATTTCGACACTAACAAATTTTTTTTTTCAGGTCGATTTTACACCAAGAAACATGAATGGGTCAGCGTGGACAGCGGCATTGGTACTATTGGAATCTCGAAATTTGCACAGGTCTGTATTTACTTGTCCTATATGGGGGTAATAAATCCCATTGCTGGCCTCTTAGAAGTCAGACAGTGGATGTTTTTGGTTTGGTTTCACGTCATTATGCAACTGTTTAAACGATGGTGACTTTTATACTTTTTTTGTCCGTGATTATGTTGAGTTAGTTGGGACATTATTTACAAATGTCCTATTCTGTTTTGTCACTGTTTAGATTAAAAATGGAAAATAAATTGAAATAAATGAATCGGTGAGGACTTGAACCGGTATCGTCAGCGTTCCGCGCTGTTGCTCCAACCAATCTGTTCTTTCACTCTTACATCACACACATACTGTATTATTTTTAAATAGCTAAAGAAAAAAAAGCTGGTGATCATAGTGGTGATATTTCAGGAATCACTTGGCGAAGTGGTGTTTGCTCAGCTGCCAGATGTTGGAAAAGAAGTGAGGTCGGGCGAAGAGTGCGGTGCCTTGGAGAGTGTCAAAGCAGCGGGCGAGGTTTATTCACCCGTTTCCGGAACGGTTAGTCTATATTTGGGACTATCTTTTTCTTTCTATTGTACTGATGGATATCGTAGATATAAGAAACAATTTCCTTTGATGAGATGTTCTGTTTAACTTGACGATCATCGGTAAGAGCGCGAGAGGTCCTAAATTCGAATCCTACGAAGTAAAAAAGTCTGTTCGTCAGAGTTGCCTAACTGCAATTTTATGACTTGACGTATTTATATTCTTATAGTCTAAAAAGGTTAATCTACAAGAGCACAGTACCCAGTATGGTTAACCTAGATCTTATGATAACAAATCACAAATATTTTTTTTCACCTAAGTTAATTGTGCTTTTTTATTTTCCTCCTTATTAAAAATCATGTTTTTTATTATTAGGCCACTCTGACTCTAGCTGTCTCATATATGCGAAGCGATCATATGATGTAGCTAGAGCCAGAGTGGCCTAATATACTTTTGTTCGAATTCCAGGTCACAGAAAAGAATGTGTCTGTCGAGTCGAGTCCAGCGCTGATCAACAAGTCGTGCTACGAAGACGGTTGGCTGTTCAAGCTAAAACTCAGCAGTCCTAATGAGCTGGAAGCGCTGATGGACCAGAGCGCTTATGATGCATACCTACAGGAGAACCACTGACATATTTCGAAGCCATTTAAATATAGTTATAAAAAATGTAATTTGTTGTGAACCAACGCAAAGACTATTTAGTATTCTCAGATCACCTTGTCTGTAAAAAGACAGACAAAATAACAATTACAAATATGACGTATAATATTGCTTCTTAGAATTTCAATGGCGATCCAATTAGCCAGTCAACAAAGTTAACAGATTTACAATTATCAGGGAACAATAGAGTGAGAGTACCATCAGGTCTTTGTCTCTTTTTCGTTTTTATTTTTTTAATATAAGCAAAACGAATTACGATACGATAAAACAACCTGTTAATTTTTAAATAGTTTTATTTAAATATTCTAATTACAATACTAACGGTTTAAAACACAATATATACGGCCCGACCGTGACCGCGGCTGCTGCAAAGCATCCGAAACGTCGAGCCGTAGTTACAATAAAACAAATTTAACTAATATATATCGCGTTTTAATCCGTTAAAGTGTTTTATTTAAATGTCTACTACGCCTGTTAATAAACAAACATAGCTATATTAAAAAGATTAAATTGTCTGTATGTCACTTTTGATCCATGAAACTTGCCTGGAAGTTCTATATGAAGAGGGGGTTATGTTTACGCTGTGTCCAGAATCATACTTCCAGAATTACAGTGGTCAATTTCTCTTAGATCTCGCCTCCACAACTGAATCCTTATTCATAAATGTATGGATTATTTAAGCGCAGCGGCTCCCGATATGATTTCAATAAGTTCTCTCGTGATGACAGCCTGTCGAGTCCTGTTGAAGAGGAGAGTGAGCTTCCTGATCATCTCCTCTGCGTTTTTAGTGGCGTTGTCCATAGCCGCCATGCGAGCTGACTGTTCCGAAGCAGCGCCTTGTTTCAGGGCGTAATAGAGAAGTGCCGCGAGGGTCCACTCGGAGTAACTTTCGAGCTGGTCTTCGTCTACGTCATCGAAGGCCGACATGTTCGGCGCTCTCTGGAAGAGGTGGAGGATTAGAAAGAATTTAAATTCCGTCCGGGTTCCACCATTCACAGACGAAAAAGGCGTAAAGACTAATCGCGTTTCGGTTTTTGGTGGATTTCCGAATATCCCCAGCCAACATAGGTCGACAGCATATCCTGTTTAGATGCCATAGGCTGGGGTACATCACCTACCACCAAGTGACCCCCATGGTTGCCTGTGCTCTTCTAGCATTAAAAACAACACCAGACAGTTTATGGAATTAAAATACTATAATAGGTAATTCGGTCCCCCCCCCCCATTCCACTACTTTATGAAGAGAACTTACCTGTCTGCCCGATTATTACAACGATATCATTCTTCTAGTTCATACCCCTCCATAGCTCAATACTCGAAATGGAGGGAAATATAAGCGATGGGATTTTGCAGAGATACCTCAATCCGGAATTTGTTGAAGAACGGCACTATGGTCATCTCGTACTTGACGGGGCTGAAGTACTTGTTGTAGTACACTTCCCCGATGTCATACTCGAAGCCAGATTCCGCGATGGCCGCGGCGATCACGGACGCGTCTGCGAACACGGGCGCAATACGACCTATCTGAAAAGCAGCATTGTATTGTGAAGGTCGCGATCAGGAGTCGAACCCGCATCAACCGTAGCGTAGTAAGAAACAAATGAAAATGAAATAGGATTCTTGAACTTAAAAACGGTTAGCGTTATTTATAGGTGCTTTACGTACACAAACTGTATACCCATACGGAAAGTCCGAGGTTCGAAAAGCTGCCCGGGCTCAGTAGAAAATTCGACCGCCTGTGTTGCCAAATGGTTAAAACGTATTGCCAAACATTGCGTTAAGCACGAGAGATTTGGGTTCGAATCCCAGGGAAACCAAAAATTGCTTCGGTCGGGTAGGGCACAGAATTCTGATCAACTACTTGCCTATTAAATAACGCATCAGTGAAAAGGACACAAAAATGTGTTCGCCCCATGCCCCACGAGGGCGAAACCGGAAGTCACTTTTCAGTAGAAATTTTAATAGATAATTTTTTCGAGAACTCACTATCGCTATGCAACGCAGCGCGCTTAAATCCATGGAATCAAACGTGCCAAACCGCTCTCCAAACTTTTTGGCCGGGCTGAAGGGAGCGCGACCGCCATCCTGCACGTGGTACTGTCAATTTTAAGCAAAAAGTCGAGTCCCCCCGCACCCTTTTGCGCACACCCTTTGTCGCACCTGATACCTTCTTTTTGCGTTCTGCGCAACCATCCGCGCTAACTTCAGCCCGGTAGAGAGTTTGGAGAGCACTGTACGTGAATACAATTGTTCAACATCTGGAAATACAAATTAATAATTATTCCAATAATGAATATTTAACTGGATTACATCTTTGACGTTGATGAGCATATTATCCGCATACGTCCGCCGGAGCACGCCCCGCGACTTATCGCCCACGCAGACCAGCTTATGGGTGGCCCCTTCTGCTTTGCGTTCGGTCAGCTCGCGCCGGATTCTACGCGCAACTCCACTGTGAACGCCGCCACAAAGACCTGTAATAATAAAATCCTTTTATTCACTGACCAGATCCTGCATATAAAAATTATTTCTAGTTTTATACCTTATCTAATCAAAAGCAAGGATCGGGCATTCAAATTCGTTTCCGCAAAATCAATCTTTATAAACTTAAGCTGTTCTTATTCAATTATTCATTCATACACATTTTTTGGGTATCTTGAACCATTTTTGCAGCGTACGCCTCGGAAACCCATAATGATGAATAATTTTCCCAATTTTTTGCACATTTCTCGCTGTATTAGTCACTCTTTTCAAGTTCTCCTCCATCCATTTGGTAGTTCCCCCCCACCCTTATATTTTTACTTATCCTCTCTCTTTCTCACTTTATTCCTTGGATACCATTCCATTATATCCTTCGTCCATTATTTGTTTTGCATTATAATTCAATTTAAGTTGTCGTGTCTTTCGAATTACGCTTTAATTTAAGTTGTCCATCTGTTTCTCAGTTTTGGATAATATAACGAAGCATGCTAAATATAAAACTGAGAGACAAAGAACTGTAAAATACATTCAGCTAATTTAAAAACTATGGGTTTACGGTACAAACTTTAACACCTAGCATTAATAAATAAAGTCAATATAGACATCGCCTTTCGCTTAGTTGTTATATAACTATTAACTGGGGTATTTCTACCTTGAAGAAAATCGCATACTTGTCTTACTCTATCATAAAAAATCTTACAATAGATTCTTACATTAAACTTTATATAATATATGTATATATAAATGGAGCATTGTTTTCGGATAAAACATATATATCTACTTCTTATTTAGAGATATTTTAGCATAGTTTAAATGACGCTCCTAGTAGCTAATATTATGTCTTGAAACAAGAAATGAATGACATTTCAACGCAGGCCTTAACATGATATAGGCTACCTACCTTAATAGTAAATACCTAGATAAACAAAGACTCCTTACTGAAGCGTGAGAGCAAATCGGTTGATGAACATTGGCGTAGATATTGCTCTCATTAAAGAGAAGTATTGTCTATTATTGTCTATGCTAATCCTTAGCCTAGAAGAAGAAAAATCTGGATACTATATAGGTGGCAAGGACGTGTGGTTAACTAACCACGGTCCAAAGATAAAAGGCCGTGAAAACTAATGCGCAAAACTCCTTCACTAATAATCTCTGGAACTCTTTCCCCATTGATATCAGAAATGGTTACTCCGCACATTCTAAACTTCAGTTTTCAAATATCACCTTTCAACTGATTTTATTCTTTTTACCACCTACCCGAAGTCCTTAGTTTTCGCTGTTTAACAAATAGGCCTTATAAGCTAGTTCTTATGTTATGTAAACTAATTTTACGTGCTGTGATGTTTATGATTATGAAAGTTAGTCAAAATAATTTAAAAAATCATTCATTAAAAAGAACTCATATTGGTCCTCAAAAAGATATCTATTCAAACGCCTGTCTCGTGTCTCTTCGTTCTAGAATGAAGTGAGATAAGAAAGACATAAAATCGAGGTTAAAATGTTACAAGACGTCCTTAATAGGTGTTTCTAGATATAATTTCACTTCCATTAATGAACTAAGATAATTAGTACATTCAGTTATTACCTAACCACATGCGTCCTCTGACCCCTGTGTGTTTTATCAAATCTATACTAATATATAAAGCTGAAGAGTTTGTTTGTTTGTTTGAACGGGCTAATCTCAGGAACTACAGGTTCGAATTGAAAGATTATGTACGTGTTAGTCAGAACATTTATCGAGAAAGGCTACACGCTATAACACATCGCGCTATGACTGAATGTGGAAAATTATTAAACGTTGAGAGTTTCCGATGCGTTCGCTGCGAAAGCGGTTCAAGGAACCCAAAAAATATTTACGAAAGAATGGTTGCTCCATTATTTAATGATCTAATAATAAGTCCGCGATACTATATAGCTATCTTTTAAGATTAACTTGCAAGAACGGCGGGACACGAACGACAAGTCGCGTGCGACGGGACGCGACCGATGTCGTGGGTGGCAGCTTAAATTTTTAAAGATAACAAGGTGGCTTGAAAATACAAATTTGGATGCCCAAAACAACTATTCTACGCGGACGAAGTCGTTGACATAGCTAGTACTCAATGAAACGTTCCAATATACAACAACGCACAAGCGAGAACACGTATGATGAAAATTCAAGCGAAAATTGCACGATTGGTCGCATCAACCAGCGTCGTCTAATATATTACCTTCTACAAGGTGAGATGGGGCCTTCCATCTTATGATTTCTTTGTATCTGAAAATTGGGGGATCATCCACGTGGAACACTTCGTCGGTCAGCTATGAAATATCGTACAAAGCGATAAGGTCGAGAGATATTTTCTTCTTTTAAATAAAACACTTTAACGGTATAAAACGCGATATATGAGTTAAACTTATTTGAAAATGATTTTTAACTTTGGCCCGACGTTTCGGATACTTTGCAGCAGCCGTGGTCACGGGGAGACTAATATATCGCGTTTTAAACCGTTACAGTGTTTTCTTTAAATGTGTACTACTCGCGTAAACTATAGACAGTATTTTATTTTCTTCTTTCTTTTCTGTAATTCTAGGCTTTAAACTTAAAATTATTTGTGTTAACCTTAAGCACTATTGACTCAGTTACACAGTATGCATGATGAAAGCTCCCGCGAAAATTGCATAAGACCGGTATTGGAATTACCTGACGAGGAAAATTCTGTCAACTAACACGTCATTAAAAGGTATTATTAGCTTCCAATTTGTACAGACCGCCATTAATTTAAATTACACTACGCTAATGGCCTAAAGGTTTAAGAATATTACTAAGAAATGCGTGAACCGCTTCGTTGGTCTCTGCGACAGCGGAACACGACGTCCAAGGTTCTAATCCTACGTTCGGTTAACTGAAAATTAGGTCAGTATTTTGAAATTTTTGTAGCAAAATGATAGGACTTTTTTGTATAGATATGTAGAGCTATACCAAGCTTTACAAAATTAAAAGTATAAACCATCCTAACTTAATTATATAAACATGCATTTACTATTTAAATAAAACACTTTAACGGTTTAAAACGCGATGTATAAAACTTATTTAATTGTAATTCTAACTACGGCCCGACGTTTCGGATGCTTTGCAGCAGCCGTGGTCACAGGGAGAATAAAGATGGCGGGTGTCTCTAATGTCAAAGTAAAAACTGCTTCTTTAGCGCCATCTGTTCCGTCGCATTTCGTATTTGGCGATTCAATTATAACTAAAATATAACACGTTTTAAACTGTTTAAGCCTCTATTTAAATGTGTGTCAGTATTTAATACATTTAGTCTTTATTGAAAGATATTATTTTTAACCTTCAATGTGACAAGAGGGCACTTAGGGCAGACATATTTCTGTTTGCCCGGTGGATTTAATTTATAAGCGAGTCATATCTATCTATACTAACATAAAGCTGAAGAGTTTGTTTGCATGTTTGAACGCGCTAATCTCAAAAACTACTAGCTCGATTTGAATAATGATTTTTGGGTTGGTTAGAGCATTTAGCGAAGAAGCCTATAGGATATAAACATTGCGCTGTGTTTAATAGGAGCAAAGAAACAGCGGGTATTGTGGAAAAAACGGTGGAAATTATTCAACCGTTATCATAAAAATATCTACGATAGAATGACTCCTCTTTAAATGATCTAAAAAAATGTCTGCGATACTATATGTCTATATTTTAAGATTAATTTGCAAGAACAACGGAACGCGATCGACGTCATGGGTAACAGCTGTGGACATCAATATTTCCTCTTCATCTTTATAAATTGAAAGATGAAGAGGAAATATTGATGTCCAAAATAACTATTCTACGCGAACGAAGTCGCTGACACAGCTAGTCAATCTATAAAGTTAATTCGCATTAGCTCGCGTCCTATATACGTCGGCATTGACCTGTTCTCATTTAATCGGCTATTTATATCACAGATTATAAAAAATATAGTTTATCAAAGTACAACTCGTTCGTATTACAATGGACTCAATTAAAGGAGAACATGACTTATCGCTAACCGTATTACTTATTTTTAAACGCTGAAAGGCAGCTTCTCAATTCGTTTCGTATATCGTTCTTTTTTATGTTCGTTCGCTCATAGCTTTGTCATTCTTTTTTTATTGGAAAGAAGGTGTTTTATTGATTTTAAGGGACGATCAACAACCAGGGGAATCGATTGTAACTTTTAATCGATTAATCGTATGGACGAGTAAATCATTCGATTTCGTTGGATTAAATAAAAATACATATTTGTACAGCCCTTGCAATGGTTTTAATGTTTAGAGAACAATGACAATTAACATTGTCACATACTGAAGTATACTTTTTCTGTTACATGAAAAAGGTTCAATAAGTATTATTAATTCAACACTCTCACCAAATTTAAGCACTCTCAATAAATAATTTTAAATTGTTATTATGACGTTAATCAATATTTAAATGATAAAAATGCTTGGGGTGCGAAGGACCCCCTCTTCCAAGGAAAAATATGTAGTACACGAAAAGTACATATAGAATGTAAAATGAAACTTGGCGATAAAGGGAGTGACAGCGAGTTTATTGCCAGTTCTTCTCGTTCGTTCTACGCCCTTGATTTGAGAACTGGTAAATGTAAAGTTAGATTCTTTAGTTTTGTGACTTTCATAAGTGTAGATACCTACCTACATGAATAAATGATTTTTGACTTTTAAACCTATTTTAAATATAAATACATTTTAGAGTTTCATTCTGAACACAAATCTACTTAAACAAATCAAGGCTTATACAAATCCCAACTTATTATTATTATTATTTTCTATCCGGGACACGCTTGGTAGCACTGGTGATCAGTCCACGTTATCCGCTGACCATTTCACCCATTTTCCCATTTCCTCCTTGCAGAGGTTTTGGGTCATCCAACTCTTCCCGTTCAAAATCCCCAGAATCTTATTATTTTTGCCATCTTTAGTTCTTTAATGTCATCTACTGTAACTTCGTCCGAGCCCATATGCATTTGCCTTAGCCTCGAGTACGCAGAGCATTCAGTGAGTAGATGGACGCTTGTTTCCTCACTTTCTCTGCACTCCGGACATAGGGGGTCGCTGCCTATTCCTATCATTGTAAGATGTCTGTTTAGACGGCAATGTCCTGTTATGATTTCTACGATGAGTCTGATATTCGCTCTCGTTAGTCTCATCAGGTTTTTGGTCTTCTTTTTATCTAGGCTATGTATGAACATTCTGACTTATGCCAGTCGAAGATTACCATGTTTGGAAATCCCAACTTAATAAAATCTGACTAAAATTCTAAAGTTTTCTATCACCTGCTGCTATTAACAATTTATTTTCTTAATATTTAGCTTTAATTCCTGCCTGTAAGATGTCATTTTTCCCTGAACATTTAAAACCATTCTTGGGCAGTACCTACAACTATGGATTTTTATTTAATCCAATAGTCTTAATAATCCAATATTTTATTTAATACTACTATTTTTAACATATGTTTTGAGTATGATGATGGAACCGAGAGACAGTCAAGGGACCGGAACTCTTCAACAATTCATAGCAGTTACCTCAAGTGAAGAACAAATTCAATCAAGTTGGGTATAACCAGTCCAATATCTAATCACGGAGTTAGGTCAATCGTGCGCAAGATACTGTTTATCGTTGACACTTATTGCGACATCACACACAAAACATGCGCCCGATTATATATTACGTTTGAGCCAAAATCAGAACAAAATCTATCAAGGAAAGGTCATTTGTGTTGTTAACAATTGGCCTTTAGTTGAAAATTTTTTTTTACAAATTGGCACGAGGAAAAATTGTTTAAAATTTAATAATAACCTTAATATAGCGCAAATCAGCATTATATGTATAGAATTCCAATTCCAATAATGATTCTAACACTTTTATTGTGGCTTGTCAATGGAAGAGTTTGTTTGTTTGAACGCATTAATCTCAGGAACTACTAACTCGAATTTAATATTTTTGTATTGGTTAGAGCATTTATCGAGAAACACTATAGGTTATATATAAAACATCGCGATGCAACTAATAAGAGCGAAAAAATAGCGGGAAATGTGGAAAATTATTCATTTGTCGGTTGTGCCATCGGTATAAAATTCCTCTTTAAATTACAATACCGACGACACTATACCTATCTCTATCTTTTAAGGTTAACTTGCAATAACGACGGGACGCGACCAACGTCGTGAGTAGCTTAAGTTTGTAAAGAGGAAGGGAAGGTTTACAAAAAATAAATTTGGATGCCCAACGTAACTATTCCACGCGCAGTCGGGGGCACAGCTAATAAAAAATAAATGGATAAATTTTTGTCTCAATTTTTGTGAAAAATAATTCCAAATGTCCAGCATACCTCGATCAGACGTCATTGCGACATAGACCCTCTTCGTTTTCTTCTCGTCCTCCGGTTTGACGTCTTCAGGTTTGGGTGGTTCTGGTGCCGGCGCACCCTTCGCCTCGTCCCCGGGTTTCTTGTCCACGGACCCCTTCACCAGGTGGCTGGACTCGTAGAACTTTCGAGGGCCGTAGCCGAACGGCCTCGCAGCTTGCAATTCGCGTTCGGCCTTTGTGAACCTTACGGAGTCAAATTAACTCTCTCTTTTGTTAGCTTGACTAAGAATTATCTTTTTATAGTATGGGTGAATACGATGTCGAATTGCTTGGTCAAGACAAGAAAAAAGATACTACGAAAGTGGATCGGTGTACTTTAAAAATCGTAAATCGAAAAAGAATTTCGACTCGGGCAGGACTTGAACCGGCATCGTCAGCGTTCTGTGCTGTTGCTGTACCAATTGGGCTACTGAGTCCATGCAATAACATGTAAAAAATGTTTTCAAAAGATCAATTAAACTAAATTTGACTATTAATAGAAGATCAACGTCGAGAGCTATTGACGGCGCTTCGGGGCCCTATATAAGGGATGTACACATTTATCTATCCGTATTATTGATCACTTATAAACAGCTGTTCAGATCTTTCTGTGCTGCCCGACCGAAAAAAATTATCGCTTTCCAGATTTATCCCAAGAAATACTACCGAAAATCGGTCAATGTATACACACTTGCTAGCCGATACCATTTTCATAGTTTTCGTGATTTTTTGTATGTTTTTAATTGATTTTAAGCGCAGGGACACTTGTTTTAATTGAACCATTGCGTTACGTTACGGTTATTTCTACTACGAATGTGATCATCTTTGACAGTGGCGTGTTTGGTTACTGTCAAGTGTCATAAACAAGTATGCTTTTTTTATTAAAAAAGGTTATAGTTAAATACTGTCTATAGTTTACGTGAGTAGTATACATTTAAATAAAACACTTTAACCGTTTAAAACGCGATATATTAGTTAAACTTATTTGGAAATGATTTTTAACTTCGGCCCGACGTTTCGGATGATTTGCAGCCGCCGTGGTCTCCCCGTGACCACGGCTGCTGCAAAGCAACCAAGCAAAATTTGTAACATATTGGACCCGTTGATTATTAGCCATACCTTAGCCCAACAAGCCCGTCTGAAGTTAGTATTAACATATTTTTTTCATTAAAGCCTCCTTGTTATAAACACGAGTAATACTCTAGCCTGCAGATACACGGCATTATGCGAGATTGATTTATAAATATCGTAAGACAGGTTTTAAGCAAAAAAGGGTTTAATATTGAGACAGCCTTGAGATTGAAACATGCGTTTGTTATTGATGCAAAAATGTGACCATTATATTTACTTTAAAATACACAAATTCATATTACCTTTTCGTTTGAAGTGAAGAAGAATAAAAAAACTTTTAACGGTTGTATACACGAGATATAATAGTCACCTTTTTAAATTTATTTTAACAATAATCAAAATTATACATTTTTATTAAATGCTGTTGCTTCAGCAACAAACCTGCAACATTTATAACAACAAAGCTTTATTGCATTCATAGAGCGTAACATAAACAAATAACTCTTAACATAAGCCGAAATAATCATTTGGTTAAAGTGAATATCAGTCCTTTTTACAGTATAACTCATAATAAGAAGGTCTGTCTGGTTTTCGTGTCATTCGTAATATTTATAACCATGGATAGACGTTATTAGCCTTATTTAGCGTCTGGTATATATTAGCATATTGCTTAACCATTGAGTTACGGAGACGATAAAAAAAAATGTTTATAATTATACTTTGGTGTATAAATGGTATAAGTATCCAATAAACATTAAAATACAACAAATATCGTAAAATTTCTGAATAATTATAGTGCGATATTGGTTATGTACCTGGTGGCTTAGTCACACTCAGGGACATAAATATTATATATTCACGACCTTTTCTTATAATTTCTATATGGTAAAAATTTTTATATATTAAAAAAAAAAAACATTTACGAGCTGCCTTTAAACAAGTGAAATCTCGTTTCCCCTCGTGGAGCACGGGGCGAACACAATTCAGTGACCGTGTCACTGATCCGCTCTTCAACAGGCAAAAGTTGATCACACTTCTGTGCCCTGCCCGTCCGGAACAATTTTTTAGTACAAATCTCTCCAATTCCACTATACATATCTATCTAATTTTATTTACTTTCAAAATTTAGTTTAGTTTAGCTCACTAAAACTTTATAGTTCTATACTTATTGGTATGTTTCTTTATTTGTCTTGTGAAATAAATGGTTTGAGTTTCGTTTCTCGATTTTCCCTCCAGCAGAATTGGGACCCCAACGTAATCAAAGTACAAATCTTTGACGTAAGTTTACCAGAATATTCACAAAGCTTTCGCTGCACAGTTTACAAACACTGTCATAACATTATCACTAGAGGCTTTGACGTCATTTGTGGTATAAAACCTTTGAACGCATATCAGGTTTGTTTCTTTGCGCGTCGCGGTTCATACAGTACGCCCTGGTGCTCACAAAATGTACGCTCCCAACCAGGATTCTCTATCAACTTCACCCCCGGATAAGGTAATTTAGAATATCCGCTTTGCGTAGATAAGTATCAAATAATATATGTAATAATAATAGTATGTGTAGTCAAAAAAGCTTATACGAAACTTAAATAATTTTGACAGTTACTACATAGTATAAAACAAAGCTTAAATCTTTAAAACTACGCAACGAATTTTGATGATTTTTTTATAGATGGAGTACAAGAGGATAGTTTTATATACAATGTACACATTTAAATAAAACACTTTAACGGTTTAAAACGCGATATATTAGTTAAACTTATTTGAAAATGATGTCACGCCTGCTGCAAAGCAACCGAGACGTCGGGCCAAAGTTAAAAATAATTTTCAAATAAGTTTAACTAATATGTCGCGTTTTAAACCGTCAAAGTGTTTTATTTAAATGTGTACTACTCGCGTAAACTATAGACAGTGTACCTCTTACAATGCAATCTGAACAAGTTAATTACGAAGTTTGGTTTTGTATCGTATTTCTTTTGACACAATTTGATACTGTATTGATTGTTTATAAATATCGAATTTCATTGATTTTGTGAATGGCACGACCTTCGGGCGTTGCAAAGGTACGGCGTAGTGACGCGGAAAAACGCAAAAAAATATATCTGTCATTTGAAAAACGCGATTTAATTGACCCTATAGGATATGATGTTAAAGTTGCATATTATACACTACTCTGTAAGCAAGTAGTTTAATTATGTAGATTTATTATTATTTTTTGTCGTTGGATATCGTAGTGTCGAATCGTGGGAAATTACGATTATTAGGTGGTTCACCTACTTGCTTGCATATATTTCAAACAGCCACAAAAATATGTCCGTCTAGGTCAGAGAAAGTGTTTCGTATCTTTTTGAGTTTTATATCTACAAAATATAAAAACAATTAGGGCGTAAATATGTAGATTGTTTTTACTGTTATTTTCGTAATTTATATTAGCTTGGTACTTTAACTTGTTAATATTACATTTGTCATCAGTTATACATTCACCTGTGTCCCATACAATACGATGTTTTGCCAGAATTCGCAGCCACGCCCCTGAAATTTCTTAAGATAATCAATGCTAAAAACTGTCTGCAGTTTACACGAACAGTACACGGTTGCTTGGAAGAGATAGCTATTTAGCTGTAAAGTTGCCGTTTGTCCTTAATTTCCATAAATTTTTATATATATATTTTTTTTGTTTTGTTTTGTGACAATAAAGAATATTTGTATTTACACATTACATTACACATTTAAATAAAACACTTCAACGGTTTATAACGCGATATATATATATATATATTAGTTAAGCGTATGTGAAAATTATTTTTAACTACGACCCGACGTTTCAGATGCTTTGCGGCCGCCATCGTCTCCCCGTGGCCTAACTTTATATATATCGCGTTTTAAACCGTTAAATTGTTTTATTTAAATAATAAACGCTATACATTTCACATGATGTGTATGCGAATTTGAGGAATAAAGAAAGTGCGTGACGTGTATTTAAAAAGTTCGCCCGGAACGATAATATTATCTTTGCGATAGACCGAGGTCTTCAACACAAGAGGTTATCGAAATGTCGCTTCTAAATATTATATCGTAATAATTTATTGTCATTGCAATACTCAGCTTCTGAGTTATTCATTGGTGCTGAATTAAGCGTCTATTTACAATATTGGAAATTATAATTACGCGACACGATTAGATTTAGAGAAGCGCTGTACTCCGTCGGTTTTTGAAATTATGGTAATTTGAAAATTAATTTCAAACAAAAGAAAAATATCTTACAACTCTTAGTAACGCATTCTTTTTCTTTATTTGATATTCATTGCGTTCTGTACCCACGCCCTGTTATTTCTACTCCTATGTATATCTGTCAGTCACGGGCCCGGATCTTATACTAGCTGTGCCAGTGACTTTGGGAAGAATTTTTAGCCTCCTTATTAGATTTAGGCCCACAATGTCAGTCAAGTCCCGTCTGTTGGCACTTACAACAAATAAAAGAGATATCTAAACAATTTTATTGTATACAAAAAAAAAAACACATTCCATATTTGTAAATTGTAAACATTATTAATTTATTAATTGTGCAAATTAAGTCCGACGCACGCCTGGCCGGTCTTTTATTTACTGTCAACGTGTTTTTTTTACACTGACTTGTATCAAAATAAAACCCGCAATTAAATCTTAAACTCGGTGATATAATACAATATATCAGTTAAATAATATGTTTGATAGTACGTAAAAAGTATATCGTGACGTAATATATTTTTAGCAAAACTATTAATATATAAAGCTGACGAGTTTGTTTCTTTGTATGTTTGAACGCGCTAATATCAGAAACTAATGGTTCGAATTGATAAATGATTTTTGTATTAGTGAGAACATTTATTGAGGAAAGTTATAGGCTATAAAACATCGCACTGCGACTAATAGAAGCAAAGAGGCAGCGGGAAATGTGGAAAACACGGGGAAAATGTCATCCCTGTGGGTTTCCCATGCATACGTTGCGGAGACGGTTAAGAATACCCAAAATTATGTGTAAAAGACTGATCTTCTCTTTAAATGATCTAAAAAAATGTCCGCGACAGTATATTATGTCTATATTTTAAGATTAACCGACGTCATAGGTAACAGCTTCTTTTAACGAATTTGGAGGCCCAAAATAACTATACGCCAATGAAGTCGCTAACACAGCTAATATATAATAAATACTTATTCTTTCAGCCAAAGCTGATGCAGGGCGGGAACTACATAGCCGAAGGTCGGGACTCCAACAAATCCACCTGGCTCCTGTTCTCCCCCTGGCACAAGGGATGAGGCAGGTTCCCTGGCTAAGTTCCTTAGCGTTTTCTCTCGTCATGGAGTCAACCTCAGCCACATCGAGTCGCGTTCCTCAGCAAGACGGCCAGGGTACGAGTTCATGGTAGAATGTGAACACGGCTCTGGCGACTTCGGAGCGGCTCTCGACGAGCTGAAAAAGGATACGGGATATTTGACTATTATATCCAGGAACTACAAGGATAATAGATGTGAGTGTTTGTCACCATCAACTGCCCCGCAAGGGATCAATTTGCCTTCACGCACATCTGCCGCCACCACTAGACCGCCATCCTACTGAGTTAAATCTATCAAGACAGAAATAATTGCCACATTCTCCTTATTGCATTATCTTGCAATGTACATAAAAATGATTTAAATGTAAATACCTTTTTATTGTTCTACTAATTATTACAATTATGATTTCATATTACGATAATTGTTATAATTATATTGATTTAAATGAATATAAATCATTATGAAAACGCAAACGTACGAGTAGGTATAACTTGTTGCTTTTCCGGTATTTTAAATTAATATTTTTAATCACTTAACGTGGTAGCTACGTGTCAGTCCTTTTATATTACAAGTGACATTTGCCTGTAAATGAAAATAATGGTAGAAGGTAATGTTAGGATAAGTATCGTATGTATATTAATTTTTTCATGACCCAGCCGGGATAATTAAAATTTGTCAAACACAGATCAGATCATAAGCCTATGTTTAAAGCACAGCGAAAATTATCATCAACGTTAGAAATAATTAATTAAATTTTTAAAGATATGTCTTTCACCTGGTGTTTAGTGGGTGTTTCGGTTTAATCTAGTTTGTAAGAGGCTATGGGTTTGTTTATCATCACAGTGGCGTTAAAATATTAAATGAATTATTAAATTCTACATAAAATACTTATAAATTGGATGCATGTGGTGGGACCACTCAGTTTTCATTGTACCTAAAAAGAAGTAAGTGCATCGTCGTTCTTCGACTTATACAATGGTAGAAAAGAAAACAATAATAATACACAATTTTATATATTATAGGTTTATGTATACGCAACTAAGGCTGCCTTTGAAATTAGAAGCTAGGATTTTTTATACATGAATATAAAAGCATTCAGTGAAATAATATGCAAAAAAAAATGTGTTACAGCCGCGGTCCCATGGTTCCCGCGTCGTATTCGCGACCTAGACCGTTTCGCAAATCAAATTCTCTCGTACGGTTCGGAGTTGGACTCCGACCACCCAGGATTCACGGATCCGGAGTACCGCGCCAGGCGGAAGTACTTCGCGGACATCGCGTACAACTACAAGCATGGGCAACCCCTCCCACGGGTTGACTACTCCAAGGACGAGACTGCCACATGGGGAGCCGTGTTCCGGAAACTCACCGAGCTATACCCGACCCATGCCTGCAAGGAACACAACCACGTGTTCCCCCTTTTGATTGAGAACTGCGGGTACAGGGAAGACAATATTCCTCAATTGGAAGATGTTTCTAACTTCTTGAAGGGTACGTAGACCAAAAACTGTCTGTAGTTTACGCGAGTAGTACACATTTAAATAAAACACTTTAACGGACAATAAGTCAATTTTGCAAAGACCAACTATGACGGAACAGATGGCGCTAGCGTAGCAGTTTTTACTTTGACGTCAGAGACACCCTTCATCTTTAGTCTCCCTATGACGATCCGAAACGTTGGGCCGTAGTTAAAATTATTTTCAAATAAGTTTTACTTATATACCGTTCTAAGCCGTTAAAGTGTTTTATTTCAACGGGTACGTATATCGTCAGCATAACTTTGATAAAAACCCCCATTCAAACACCAAAAACCACCAAAAAAAAAAACAAAAAGTTTAAGAGCAACTAAGCTGAAATATTATATTATAGTAGACTCTAAGTGTAATTTAAACCGTTACTTTATATGAAATACGTGAACGAAAGCAAGACATAACATAAGTTTTTGAAGCCAATCAACGAAGACGTTAATAAAATAAAACAGATTTATCTAGCGCAAAAAAAAAACTGCTTTTACCTTTTATTAATTCAACTTCCACTTACAATGTGTATTTCAGATTGTACCGGATTCACGTTGCGTCCAGTAGCTGGACTGCTATCGTCCCGTGATTTCCTAGCTGGCCTAGCGTTCCGAGTCTTCCACAGCACACAGTACATACGCCACCACTCTAGGCCACTCTATACCCCGGAACCAGATGTTTGTCACGAACTTCTTGGACACGCGCCGCTATTCGCCGATCCAGCTTTTGCCCAGTTCTCGCAAGAAATAGGACTCGCCTCATTGGGTGCGCCTGATGATTACATCGAAAGACTTGCCACGGTAAGATCGTTGGCGAAACTAAATAAAGTAGACGAAGAACTCGTTTCTGATATTACCATACTGATGTGAATAATCCTCCGACTTAGCGAGGACGACACAACACTAGTGCCACGCGTTTAACGCGCACGTTGCGGAGGCACTAGGTCAAAAACTGTCAAATACGATCGATGGCGCGCTGTTTGTCGGCTAAGCCTAACTTTGGCTAATAAATGAATATTTTAGAATTTGACATTGTGTTTCCGTCTTAATAATACTGAGAGGATATTTGTATAATTTTTTTGAAAACTTTATAAATGGTATAGCTTAAATGAGTAACAGATTGCTATAATAGAAAAGTGTGAACGAAAACTAGGTGCCTAATAGTTTTTTCTCTGTGATAATTATAAATGTAGGGTTGTAGCATGTAAGAACTTAAATACTGTCTGTAGTTCACGCGAGTAGTACTCATTTAAATAAAACACTTTAATGGTTTAAAATATTAGTTAAACTTATTTGAAAATTATTTTAACTACAGCCCAATGTTTCGGATGCTTCGCAGCAGTCGTGGACACGGGGAGACTAATTTTCAAATAAATTTCACTAATATACATCGCGTTTTAAACCGTTAAAGTGTTTTATTTAAATGTAAGAACATCTTCAATGCCATGCACCAACACACTTTCGTGTAATGTAATTTGAACACTAACACCTATGTTTGGATTGAGTACTTTGCAACTTACGAAGTAATTTAATATTTTGAAGAACACATACGTTTTGGGACACAATACCTACTGTCATTTCTTCTACTGCATCATGTTTCTCTTCCAGTGCTTCTGGTTCACGGTGGAGTTCGGCCTGTGTCGGCAAGACGGTCAGTTGAAGGCATACGGTGCTGGTCTCCTTTCGTCGTTCGGCGAGTTGCAGTACTGCCTCTCGGATAAACCAGAGCTCAGGGACTTCAATCCGGAGGTGACGGGCGAACAAAAGTACCCAATAACCGAGTACCAGCCCATCTACTTCGTCGCTGACAGCTTCGAGAGCGCAAAGGAGAAGATGATGTGAGTTGAACATGATTCATTTGTAATTCTTAGTTCAAATGAACAAAATTACTGGAAAACTTATTCACTCTTAACGTTTGAAAACTTTACACGAAATATTGCGCGAGAGTAGCACGTCTTGATGAGGTGAAAGAATTCAACGACAAGGTGTAGGACTCGGTAACTCAATTGTTTAGAGCAATAACACGGCACGCTGACGATGTAAATTGTTTCAATTTATTTTCGATTTTTTAATTATTCGCTCTTTTCATAAATTATCTGAACACCGAAGAAAAATACATAGGCAACGTTTACTTATTATACCTGCCGTACAGGGTGCGCATGTTCCTTCTATGTCTGGAAGCGGCACACATAACAACCAAGTATTTTAAATTTCAGAAAATTCGCCCAGACGATACCTCGTGACTTTGCGGTGAGATATAATCCGTACACCCAAAGTATCGATCTCCTGGATTCACAAAAGCAGATGAGGGATCTCCTTCGGGAAGTCCACCAAGAGATGAATCTTCTCCTCAATACTATGGAAAAGCTTTAATTTTAGTTGTAGTTGTAGATTTTTGAAGATTTATTCAAAAACGATATTGAGACGTAAATACAAGACGTAGATTAGATTTAATATTAAATAAGATATTGTACTTTTATATTTAATTTTATTGTTAAGGAATTAGGTAAATAAGACTTCTGTTTAATAGGTTTGGGTTTATCAAAAAAACATTTAATATTTCGGGATAAGAATCTTTGTTGACTATTATAAAGATGTATATGCCACGATCTGTGATTCAAAATGTTACATAAAAATATATCTCGATTAAAATTGTAATAAATTAATATAAATATTATTTTTCATATTGCTTTTATTATTGGTACTCGGAAGTATTATTTACTTCTCTTACAAGTGTTTGTGTGTTTATTTTTTATCCGGAAATGAAAAAAGGGTATTGGAATCGGTCTAATAAACAGAGAGACAACAGAAAAACATTCACTAAAAGGGTTGGGTCATCTATACTGATATATAAAGCTGAAGAGTTTGTTTGTTTGAAAGCGCTAATCTTGAGAACTACTAGTTCGAATTGAAAAAATATTTTTGTGTTGGTTAAAAAAAATATTGAACAAGTTATAAAACACCGCACTGTGACTAATAGGAGCGACGAAATAGCGAGAAATGTGGAACAAACGGGGTAAATATTCATCCTTGTGGGGTTCCAATGGTTCAAGATACCAAAAGTATATGCCAAAAATCGGGACGCGACCGACGTCGTGAGTAATAGTTTAAATTTGTAAAGATGAAGAGGAGGATGTGTAAACAAATTTAGATGCCTTAAATAATACGCGGACGAAGTCGGTGCACAGCTAGTTTATATTAATGAAACGACGAATAACCAACATCGTATAATTCATAATTTGTACAGAGGTTCCAGCATGATTTACTAAGATAACGCACTTACAACTAAACCGTACATAGTTCTTAAGTTACTTACAATTAAATTTTCGTGGTTACATATTGCAAGTAAAGTGTATGTGCACGTTTTGCGCACGACCAAATTTAAAATGTGTAAACTCTTTAGCTCTACTGATTTATTCGCAGTATCTACGTCCTGGAATTTCGGAGAACTATCGTGTGCCCGACATTTGACATTGGGTCTCTTGAGCTCAAAATAATTTAAAAAGGTCTGGGATAGTTTTTAATGCACGAGCATTAAATTAATTTCTTCTCAATTCAAAAAAACAAAGCCATAAAGATGTACGAGATCTTCAGACAGATCTAGAAAGACATTCACGTCACGATAATAAACCATACTAGAGAAGAATAAAATACTCGTTAAGTTTATAATGACGAACGCCATTAAACATTTACAACATTTAGGGGTGTTAATTGTATATGAACTTTATTTATTTACAACATACCTAATAACGTTAGTGTTACACAAAATAATAAGCCGTAATTGACTGGTTACGTTTAAACGATTGACATTTTGATTCAGTTACTAGGTTAAAGGCTATTCGGGCTCTCATCTGTCCGAAAAAGTCTGCAGTGTGGAAACAGAAATAGAGTATATAAGATAATACGTGCCTTACAACTGACTTAAACAAGATTTAATCGAATACTGTCTATAGTTTACGCGAGTTCAGTCTCCCCGTGACCACGGGTGCTGCAAAGCATCCGAAACGTCGGGCCGAAGTTAAAAATCATTTTCAAATAAGTTTAACTAATATATCGCGTTTTAAACCATTAAAGTGTTTTATTTAAAAGAATTAATCGATCCATTCTCTTCAAGATCTACGTGGACTTGTATACAAAATTTCGAACGAACCAAAAAACGTCGACTCTTAATTGATACGATTATAAAACGATAGATAATTGTTTGAGCGCCGAGTTTGGGATTGAGGAACAAGTTAAGAAATCGGATAGTAGGCAATTCATTGCAATCATTTATTTTTTTAGAAATTAGATTTACCGAGAGACTAGTTTGTTTTGTATTCTACGGCAAAGTCAGTGTAAGCAGTTAGAGTTTGCAACTTAAATTTAAGAAATACTAAGAAATGTCTCCAAACTGACACAAGTAATAGTGGAATATTTTTCTTATTTATAAATGGGTATGAAAGTGTGAGAGCTTTATTACCGACATAGAATAAAATCACTTACACAATTTATTACCCTAATATCTGATCGTGCTAAAAATGACGACATACGTTAATAATCCGTATATATTATATAATTGTTATTTACAATATCCCTTACAATAATTTCATAGACCGGCGAATGATATTTCGATTATATGAATTAACAGAAATTGACTAACATAGTAACAACAAACATTAAACAATTATTATTTTAGTTTGGCACTACGACGCTTGATAAATCAAAATATTCTTTAAAAGTAGAATTAGAGAAAAGGAGAAGTTATTTTACGAAGGGAATTGACGGTGGCGAATAAAATTATATCTTACTACTATTACGCACAAAAGTAATCAACCATTTTAAAGGAATTTGACTTTTCATTTAATTGGTTTTGCTTCCTTAAAACGCGATGTTCGCAAACACCGGCTCGCACCGCAAATAAGTCTTTAGGCCTATTTACAGCGGAATCATAGAAGCACAGTTTTATCTATTGTAATACATTTCAATGATACGTTAAAGCTATAAACTCTAACTTCCATGCTATACTTACAATCTTATCTTAGTATAAATTATATTAAAACACGCATTTTAAATCCTGTAGCGAGTATCTCTAATCGTAAATTATATTCGAACAAACGTATCACAGTTACTTATAATAAATAAATAAATAAAGGCTTTTTACAATAATTCTTTAAGGGACATTAAATAAGTTCTATTTAAAATTAGAACAGTAATCTATTCGCTACACGCGATATCTACAATGAATATATTAACTGGCGTAAAGATTTATAAGCCTATGGTAGGTACGAGCTGTCTCTACGAGAAGCGGCTTATTCCTGTTAGATAATATTTTTGTAGTTCTATCGTAAACTGATTGCAGGCAATTTACGCTTCACTCTGCATGCAATGGATCGAGGAGTCTTCAGATAGCTCATCCATGGAAGAATCCGTGAAAGAAGTTCCATCTGTAAGTGTTAAGAGAACTTTAAGTGTACTATAAAGGAGGCTATGTAACAAAATATTTAGTAAAAATCCATATATCTCCACTTTTACATTTAATTAAATATTAATAAAAAAAACATTGAACGTATTGGTGGTGGTAATTTAAAGTGTTTTAATCAAATAAAGTTTGATTCGAATTTCGACTAATCGATGAGTCATCAGCCATCTTATCTGGTCGAGAGTATAAAAACGTATTGGAAACTTTGGTTTTATATTTCTCAATTCTTAATTTAAACCGGACATGAGTGATTATAAGATTCCCTGAAAGGAATCGTTGGAAAAGGCATTAATAGTCGTTGAAATAAATAAATGCGAATGGCATGAGGTCTTGAAGCGCTAGCTCACCTATTGGCACAAACGGGGGTTTGTTCTGGAAAGAATAGGTGAGATGAAGGTTGATAGGCCGGCCAAACCCCACCGGGTCGCTGTCCCTGGACATCACTGGAAAAAATGGAACATCTTTATGGAACACTCTCACATAAATTAAAAACATTCGCAAGACTGTCGCGTCAAAAACTTCGCTGGGCGTAAACACATTCGCATTCGCTAATGTTGGTACACCCACCTTGATTCTGTTTCCCTTTTCCTGTGTGTTGGTGCTTCTTCTGGCGCGCTCGACTATTCTGGAACCAGACTTGCGTGACCCGCTTGCTGAGACCTGTGACTTGGGCGATCCTCTCCAGGTCTTGTCCATCCGGGTTCGAGTCCAGCTGGAAGTTCGCCTGAAGGACCTGCAGCTGCTCCTCGGTGAACGTGGTGCGCACCCGTTTCGCCTTGCTCTTGTGATATCCCTCTGAGTCGCAACCGTCTGCAGTTGATATTGTGTACTTCATACATTAATCTTATTTATGTTCAGGGTTATGGTACTCTTTAAATCTAGCGAAGATATAAGTAACAGAAACTTTCCAGAATATTCAAGGCGCCTATCATTAGGTGAGCTTAATAATTACCGTCCGAAGAGATAGATCCTCCATCCAGCGTTTCCAAGTAATGCGGCTTGCAGAGCACCCGATCCTCATGCAGAGCGAACTGTTCCCCAGTCGAAAGCTGGCGACCGCACGCGTCACATGCAAAGCACGCCAAGTGGTAAACCTGTTCCCTCGCCTTCCGCACCCAATCCGACGAAGAAATCCCGCGACAGCACTTTGAACACTTCGCACCAAAACTCCTGGAACAAAAGAGCTCCCTTTTACACACGACGAAGGCGCAGAGCAAACACGCAGAGCGGCAATCGACCTTTAATAATCATAACTTCATCAGGAGGATTGCATTTAATAAATTCATTTAGATAACTGCCCTCGATCGTGCCACTGCGCAGGTGCTTCTACGATCGTACGTCGAGGAGAAGTCCATCGCAATGAGCACAAAAAGTCACGCGGAGCGGTATTATAAATTAAATAATATAAAGTAAATCATTTGCGGCTGGATAGAGAATTATAAATACATTAGCGTTAAGATTGTGGCATTTCAATGTAATGTCAAAGGATACGATAATTTCTGTCATGATAACGCAAATTAAAAAGAACATAATATGTACATTGTATGTGTATAAACGAGAACTATCTATTGACACAATAGATTTTTTATAATATGTGTAACTTTTTAAAAGCAATTAAACACATTTTGATTAAGACGCTAATATAATTCTGGTCTTTCAACAATACTTACAACACAAGAGACGGCGGCTAGCGTATTAATTAAGAATGGGTTCGTATTTAACCAAGTGTGCCGAGTGGCCCGAGTTATATAGACGGATCCAGCACTTGTGTTATTAGAAGAGGGAACTGGGATCCTATTCTGGTAAGTCACTGGTGATATACTTGCGAGAGGCTGCAGATAGGCCATTGACTAAGCATTGTGCGATAGGCCAGTGTAAGTAACAGAATCGGGCCACTGCACGGTTCGCGTGACCCATCGCAGGTGAGTCCCGGCTGACATTATGTGCCGGGAAATAAATACGCACTTATACCGATATAATTTTAATTAATTTCTCTAAAATGCGAATTGAGCTCGCTAAAGTGGCTAATGTCAAAACATGTTGTGTCCAATGACAAGATGGAGTTACTCGCGATAAAGGTTACAAAAAAGCGGTTATTTTTTCTTCGTACGACACGCAAGAGGCGCTAAACAGCTTCGATCTGGAGTGAGACGTGCGATTATAAAATAAAATAGGATTGTTGATGAAGACTGCTTTTATTGTAGACAACATAAAACATATTTTAACAAGTATTTTATCTATACTAATATATAAGATTGAAGAGTTTGTTTGTTTGTTTGAACGCGCTAATCGCAGGAACTACTGGTTCGAAATAAAAAAATATTTTTGTTTTGGTTAGAGCATTTATCGAGAAATCCTATATATAGGTAAAATATATATGTATAGTAATATAATATATAGTAAAACATATATATAAGTTATATATAGGTAAAACATTGCGATTTGACTTTAAGGAGCGAAGAAACAACGAGAAATGAGAAAAAAGAGGCACTTTATTCATCCTTATGGGTGTCCGTTGCGTACGCTCCGAAAACGGTTCAAGATACCCAAAAAATATGTATGAAAGAATTCTTCTTTAAATGGTCTAAAAAAATGTCCGCGACAGTATAATATGCTTATCTTTTAAGAGTCGCAAGAACTACGGGATGCGGACGACGTCGTGGGTAAGAACTATAATTTATGAACCTCCTCCAGGGGTCTGCAAAACCAAATTTATACTTCCAAAATAAGTATTCTACGCGGACGAAGTCGCTGACAAAGCTAGTGATTTATAAAGTGGTTTAATCTGAATCCCTGTTACTAAAGCTACAAAATGTATTAAAAACCTTCAATATTTCATCGCCTCCATAGCTAAATGGTTACACGTGTTGCCTAGCAGTGTGTAAAGCGCGAGAGAATCCCGGGGAAACAATAGATTGTTTCGGTCGGGCACAGAATTCTGATCAACTACTTGCTTGTAAATAAAAAATCGATCAGTGAAACGGACACAGAAATGTGTTCGCCCCATGCCCTACGAGAGGAAACGAGATTTTACACATACGTGATTGCACTATTGAAATGTTATTTTTACAAATTATATTTATACAAATGATTTATTGAATATTGATAGTGATATGCTTAACTTAATCCCGCTTGGATTACTTATTTCAATTGTGCAACTTGAGTAACGAAATTACTGTAAGCAGTTCATAAAATTTATTACAACGATTGCAGTTTTCATGCAGACAATTGAGGCCCGTTTCAGTATTTTTTTCTGATAATTGTTAAGCTGTCAAAAACGATTATCATCTGTAATCATTCGCTGTCTCTATATCGTTGTGTGTTGCGTAGGAGTGTTAGGAAATTGCGTGTTGCATAACCAAAAACTCATACAGAATACCAGATAGAACAATAATGATATTTAATTTTTAATTCGTTATTTGTACAAAGTTTAACATTTCTATCATAGTAACATAATAATAAACAATGTATTGTAATTGATTTATTAAATAAAAAATAACAATTAGAACAGACAATGTGTATTTGTAATGCGCACAATTAGTTTTTTACTCGGTGATGGAATTGAGAATAGATTACCAAAAGATTAGAGTATTATTGTAATGTAAGTTGTTTCGTAAATAGTGCTAAAGACACGCCCGGTCAAAATAATAGACTTTGCCTGCGTAGAGCTTACGTAGATGTAAGATTAAAATTATAATCCGATGCACCCTTAATACCCAAAACAATAAAATAAATACAAAGTTAAATAAAACCATTTAACGTTTTAAAACGCGACATATATTACTTTAACTTATGTAAAAAGTATTTTAACAACGGCCCGATGTTTCGGAAGCTTAGCAGCAGCCGTGGTCACGGGAAGGCGTCGTGTCATACTTTTATCTTATTCTCATTGTTTTGTAAGCCTACGCCATCTAAACACCTAAACAGTTTAAAACGTGACATTTATTAGTTAAACTTGTTTTATGGTCACGAGGAGACTAAAGATGGAGAGTATCTCTGACGTCAAAATAAAACCTGCCATGCTAGCACCATCTGTTCCATCCTAGCTGGTATTTAGACTCGGCCATTTACGCCAATACTAACTTTAACGGAACAGATGGTGTTAGCGTGGTTAAATTAAATTTTAAACGAGTCTAACTCGCGTTTTAAACCGTTAAAGTGTTTTATTTCAATGTGCACTACTCGCGTAGACCACAGACAGTATTTAAATACAAAGTGACACAAATACACCGCTATCGTTTCGTGTCCGGAAGTTTACTTAAATGTCCGTGGACAATAAATGAAGCTTATTAAAACACTTGTAAGTGTCTCGGCTATAAATAACTCGCTAATACCGCAATAACGCTTCCTCCACGGCAAAGGTTTGCCGACATTTTCATTAATTATATTTCACTTTTAATTGACATGCACTCACCTCGTATTTTTTGTACGTTTACTGGGAATCAGGATTATGTTTAGCCAACGGTGCTCCGGCGCTATTGATAAAACTTCGCGTATAACAATTAGTGAACTATCGACTAGTAATCATATAATTTCAATTAAACCTTTTAACGGTTTAAAACAGGATATATATTAGTTATAGTTATTGGAACATGATTTTAACGGCCCGACGTTTCCTCGCGACCACGGCCGCTGCTAAGCATCTGACACATCGGGCCGTAGTTAAAATAATTTCCAAAAAAATTAACTAATATATATCGCGTTTTAAATGTGTATACATAGATAGATAGATGTATTCTTTTAAAGAGCCAATAATCTGATTAATGATTCCTCTCTGTTTAATGTTACTTCATGTAAACATTTGCAACTGTGTATTGTTACTCTAACACGTCCGTGTCTAATTAAATAAACTTGTATCCTCCATTAAAATGCCTCGTATCTGCAGACGAAGGACTTTTTTGTTTAATACTTTTGCTCTTCAGAAGCCCGACCCTTATCTTGTTTGTATTAACTTGTTCTTATCATCTCGGTCATTTTAGAGCCGATATAGCAATTAAGTTGGGAGCTATCCCTTTGCAATAAAGTTACGTATGTCTTTGATTTTAATAATTAACTTATAATATGTATTTAAATAAAACACTTTAACGGTTTAAACGCGATATATTAGTTAAACTTATTTGAAAACGATTTTTAAATAAGCTTAACGTCTCCCCGTGACCACGGCTGCTGCAAAGCATCCGAAACGTCGTGCCGAAGTTAAAAATCATTTTCAAATAAGTTTAACTAATATATCGCGTTTTAAACCGTTAAAGTGTTTTATTTAAATGTGTACTACTCGCGTAAACTATAGACAGTATCTTATAATATGTAGATAAAGTAATAATATGGAGTTTTAGCCTAAGTTATTGAAACGGTCGATGAAGGAGGAAAATAAATATCTATACTAATATATAAAGCTGAAGAGTTTGTTTGTTTGTCGAACGCGCTAATCTCCGGATTTTTTCGTAATTTTTCTATCGATACTAATATAAAAAAAAAAATCATCTTTGTCTGTTTCCGATGTGTATGCTCCAATAACGGTTCAAGATACGCAACAGGCTTACAACAATTTTTGTTGACCATAATAAACTATTTTACTCGAACGAAGTCTAGTAATAGAATACGGCTAGTATAAACTAAGGTCACTTCGTGGCCCGAAACGGGCATTCTCGCGTTCCCTTAAGATATTCGCGTGCGCGTGTATTAATCGAGGCAATGCTTTACCCGCGTTATCCACCGCAATGTTTCAAAGCGATTTGCATTCCGAAAAGTGTTGGCGGAGTACCGGCGGCTACCGTTATCGTGCTTATTAACATTTTGTCGCCGGAGAATCAGTAATTAACTTGCTGACACTTTAACAAGGTTTAACACTCCGTCGTAATGAAGACTTCGCTCGCTCGCTGATAACCGCTGGTTTTTACTATTAACGTAATGGTGGTCCGGATTACACTCTCTTGAAGCTCGCTTATATGGCTCACTTATTTGACTTACTGTGTCCCCTAGCTGGGGCAGAGGGCGTTGACAGTGGTCCTCCATTACGGTCTTGAGCTTTACGGTCTTGAGCTTTACGCTCTCTCGCTCCACGTCTTTCTCACTTTCTTCGCCTCGTCCCCAACTATATGCCGCCAGGATTCTTTGGGTCGACCGCGTTCAAGTGCCTGTTTGCTCGGAATCTCTACGAAGTGTGTGAC